AGGTTGTCGTGTATTATCTCAACAATCAATAGTGGTGTTAGGAAATGTTTTAATAGGTTTTTTTATTACAATATAGTGGGACAAAGAACAGGAGGTACTATGATGTTAGCTACTTACCGCCACCCATGGACATCGACAACACCTGATGGGTTGCAGATTCGTTTCCAAATATTGGGCTCCGGTCACCTCACCCACTAGAAGAAACGATAAAGAATAATACTTCTAAAACACGCCGATTTTCAGTGAGCTCGGGGTTGTGAAGGAGTAACAAAATTCTTACTAATATAATAAACGCGTTAGTTGGATGTTTGTTACTCTTTCACGCAAATACTACTGAATGGATTCTAATGAAACTTCACAATAATATAGCTTAGACATCAGAATAACAGATAGGCTATAATTTATATATATATTATATGTATATCTGTCTGAATGTTACGCCTTCAGCTAATTCCACGTAGACGTAGCCGCGGGCAGCAGCTAGTTCTACATAGGCTACTGCTGGACGAATACGCCAACTCAACGGGCGAGAAGTTTTTTTTTATGTGAGAAGGTGGCGACTGGCGGTTCACCTAATGTTAAATCATAACCGCGTTCATGGACATTTGCAACACCCCTAGGGTTGCAGATGCGTTGCCACCTTTTGACAAAGTGGTCCCCGGCTACGTCACTCACGAGATGCAACACAGAAGTATAACACTTCCACCGCAGACCGCTCTTCTCCGAGGTTGTGGTACTTTCCCAGACCGACCTGCCCATACTTGCAACTGCGAACCGTTACGTGGTCCTACAACAGCTAAAGTTTACATTAGGGTTTCCTCGGGATAACCAAAATCTCAATGGTTGGCAATTTGCCTGCACTGCGGTTAGCAATTTGCCTTCAGCCTCTGGCACGGTCTTACATACTGGTCCTGCAACGCTAGGTTTCGACATTGGCCGGCTAACAAACCAAGCCGATAGAAGTATACCCGGTTGCAACAAAGGTGACGATAGTCGCCCTAGAAAATCCAGGTAATTTTTTTCTTATATAAATCTTACATACTTTTTAACGTAATTTGTCGCTCGGTAGGCCACTACTAAAACTTCTGAAAAACACCTCAGGAAGTGGGGAGAGGCTGAAAACCGGCAGCACAAGCTGAGCTTTACCTGTATTATATGTACTTTAAGATTAAGAATGCATATTTAGTTATTTATATATAAGGCAATAAAGTGATTTTTATTTTTGTTTTATTTATTTAAATTATTCACAACTCACAAATTAAACCATTAACAAACAACCCAATCATTGGGTACTTTATATAGCCATGGTTAGCTTTGTTCAAATTTTATTTGGTACATAAGGTTTAAGACTTAATTTTCTCAAAATATTTACACCAAATCACTTACAGAGGAAATACAAATACTATATTATGTACAACAAAAAATTTCCGAACTGGCGAAGATAGTGGACTAATTATAATAAAAAGCGATAAGAACATAAAACTTACTACTGTTGATGCAAGAAAAATGCAGGTCACGTTAGGCATCTGTCGAGCGCAGCACAATCTGAATTTTCCTACAACAGTGAAGTCACTCCTTACTTTTGAAATTTTGCCGAGTTGCAAGACATGTATGTTAGGCTTGTGGTGTTGCGTCCATAGAAAGTTAGTCCTCTTTCCATAAGATAAACACTTTGTTAATTAATTTTAAAATTAATATTAATTTGTGTGCCTATATGACAGGCAGTAAGTAAGCTTGGCTTCAGGTCGAAACAATATTAATCTCAATGGAGGTGCTCCAAATTGCCTCGGCTACCGATCGTGACCTCACATGCAATCTGTTTACAGTAACGTTTTTTTTTTATTATTCATGTATCAATCAACTTTGAATATTTGGTCTGACAGATTTAAAGATCCGTTTGTTATCGCTTTAATTATCAGTGTAATTCTGTAATTGGTTACAGCTAACCGGGTCCCCTTGAACCGGTGACCCGGATTTGTTGACATCCGACCGCATTGCTTGACATCGGCTCATACTCGAGAATACATTGTTCTTTAATTACGCGGCAACAACATTTTTTCATATTGATTTAGCTGTTGCATTGAACATGTACCGAAGTCAACTCGAATTTCTTTTTTCACCACGAATATTTATTTCCGTCAACCAAGGAAGTTCCTTAATGAAAGGAGACAAGAATGATATCTGAATACGAAAATTATATTTCTTGATCTATAGGACATATAGGAAAAAGACCTAAATTCTATTTGCTTTTTAAAACTGCACTTTAAGTTTAGAGTGACAATTATAAACCAAATGGCCTGTTAACAGACGTACAGACAGACAATAAATTGATGCAGTAAAGATTCCATGTTTTCATATTGATTTAGCTGTTTCATTGAACATATACCGAATTCTACTCAAATTGTCTTTTTTACCACGATTATTTATTTCTATCAACCTTCCTTTCCTTAATGAAAGGAGACAAGAATGATTTCTGAATTCGAAAATTATATTTCTTAAATCTATAAGACATAGAGGAAAAAGCCCTAAATTCTATTTGCTTTTTAAAACTGTGTTTGAATTCTAAATACTTTAAAAAAAATGTACGCAAAATACTATGATTCATTTGTGTCAATATATCTTTTTTTAAATATATTTTCGAAGTAATAAATAAATTAGTTTAATGCAGCTACGGCTAGCTGCAATCAATTTTGTAACACATAAGTTCTGCTAAAACAACAACGAATTTGGCCTAAAATTGACTGAAATTGCACATCTTATAATGAATACGTTAATAACGAAACATGACTGAAGCAAACTAAAGCATTGGAACATTGTAGTACACTAATAAAAATATAATAGCGCGCTACGATGGACCCACCGCCGGGGGTCCCGCCGGATAACACTACACCCACAGTTAGTGTAACAACAATCACACCAGTTCGCCCTCGCCTCCGAGCACGGCGAGACCCACACAACGCGTACACAAGGTACACCCGCGTTCCGGGGCGGTTCTCACCGCTCCCAGCCACCGATTAGCTAAATGCACAGTCGACGGCCGTCGGGATCTCGGTCCGAACCGGCGACCTCGACGGCCCTTAGATGACACACCATAGTAGTTAAACGCACGCATGAGCACATGCGCGACCCTACCCATAGCGGAGGGTCCAAACCCGTGGGTTCCGGCTAGCCCACCGGTTCTGCGTCCGATGAAGCTTTAGTAGTCTCGGGACTGAAAGCAAAAACATCAGTTAATACAAGATACAAGATAATAGCGCGCGAATAAAAAAATAAAAGAATGCGCAATGTACCTATCCATAATAAACCGTACACAAAAATGGTATTAGATGAGATAAAGTATGAAACATAGTAACTTGTGGGTAAAGTCCAGTGAGTTTTTTTAACTAGTATTATGTACCTACGGTAATTCTTTTTATTTCGTTGTCACACCACCACGATCTCGCTTGCTATATTTATTGTCTACATCGATATTTTATTGCACAATTTCCTTTATCAGTGACTTTTCTTACTTCACGAATTAAATAATGAAAAACTTATTAATTTCTATTTCTTCTTACTATTACGACGAATATAATTAAATACCTAAAACATATTTTGCTATGCTAAAACTCTTAATACTGCTTTATTACATCCAACTCAAATTGGTATATGGATTACTAACAATTCTTCAGATTGTTAAGTTGGCTATTTTAGCTTCGAGTAAAAGTTAAAATATAATGTTAACGGTTGTAATACTTTTAATCTAGGTCTCTCTCAGCTACAAATAAAATGTTAATGTCAGTTGAACAATTATAGTTAGTATTTCATCGCTTAGAATGTGTTCACATTTCTAGCGTTCAATTTTTTTTTTACTTATATATATATTTTTTAATTATCAATTCTTGCGAATTTCTTCTAATAAATTCTTAAAAATAACGGACGTATAAGCTTCAATTCCTTACTCCCTTTGGGCATTTACTTTTTTTTAATTCTTCCACAATTCATGTCCATGTTAATATTTATTTATTTGATACACCAACGAAATGGACACTGAAAAAATTTAAGTGTACACAAATTATAAGGAATAACACGTTAAACGCCACCTCAATTATAGGTGTAGGTATACGAAATTTCAGTTAAATGTAGTATTTGCATGATAAACAGGTGGGATTATTTATACATTGTAAAAACAACAATTATACTAATACATTTTTGTTCGATTTGAATTTGTACATGAATAAAATTATTTAAAAAAATCATTACATTGTCATTAAATTATACACATGAAGGTGATAATCGAAAAAAATATAATAAACATAGGAGTAAAAGTAAGCGTCCGTGAAATATTTTGATTACATAATAAATTATTAACACTGGATTAAACAATATTAAATTTATATTCGACACTAAAACTAACATAAAAATGATTTTACGGTGGTAGGGCCACGCAGCGGCCTCGCCTGTTGCACGAATGGGTAAGTACCACGACCTCACAGAAAACCAGCGTAAAGTGGAAGTTTGACCAATACTTTCGCGTTTAGTCTGGTGAGTGAGGTAGCCGGAGCCCAATTTTCAAAAGGTTGTCAACGCATCTGTAATCCTCGGCTGTGGCTATGTCCATGGGCGGCGGTATTCACTTAACATCAGGTGAACCGTCTGCTCGTTTGACAACTTTTCGCATAAAAAAAATATATATATATATATATATATATAAATTTATACCAAGCATTGTCAAAATTTAAAGTTTTCAACCAGCTTCTTAAACTGCTTATAATAAAATGAAATGTATATATCATTTTATTTATAGCTATTATACATAGTTAATTTACATTAAGCGATATATTAAACAATTTTAGTATACAGCAAGCCTTAGACGTACAAGATAAGTTGTCAGCATTCTCGTACGATTAGTCGATTATTGGTAATACATCGTCAAACACACACTCAGTCAACGGCTGACCGTCACCCGGTGTAGACGTCTAGTTGTTTTATACAAGTTACTTCGTGTTACAATTAATACAATGTCATTAGCAATATTCCATTTGTTCGCCGCCGCGATCAACACTTACGTTATATGGTACGATCAGACTTACGTCGAGTTACCTTTGGAGAACGAATTGCTAAAAACTTTGCCGTTGAAGTCCAGGAGTATGTTCTTGACCATTTGGTGCCTTGTAAGTATCAGTAACTGCTCACGCAAATAAATAACGAATCGCAAGACACATGTACACAATGTTACAATACCGAAAAGACCAATTACTATACTGTAGACAGATTGCACTTTAAAAATGAAACATATACTTGTAATGTTTCGCTCAATAATACGAAAAACAAAAAAAATATGTGAACATACAATATTCTCCTTTTTGTTGTCTACAGGTTTCACTAATCAAATATAAAACAATATAAGAAAAATATGGTTTTATACAAAAACATACCACAAAAATCAGTGTCTACAAAAACATATACCACAAAAATCTTCTTCGACACAAGGATTCTTAATATTTAATATAAAAAAAAACTTCCACGTAATGTCAGTGACCTTTGACGGATTCTTCCTGTTTTCTTTTTCTTGTTATTGACGGGTGTTACTGTCTAAGCGGCAATCGATCTTGAAAACCATTCAAATAAAAGTTGTATTTCCAATTCAATCAAAAATTAAAACAAATAATTATGTAATATTATTTAAAATGTCCTTGAACGGAGCGATCCTTTCACGGAATTTGCAATGCACAGGCGTATTTTAAGCTGCAATTTTGTTACCGTAGAGATTTTTTTTATTTCGATTAACATCTTACGATTACATTCAGTCTAGTTGTTCAACTTGATCGTTAAACAACTAGACTCCATTGCTAATTTGCGGAATTTGTGTCTTCATACACGTAAAGTTTTCTGCATAAAGTTTGTCTTTACCGACGAACACGTGGTAAGTGAACAATTAAAGAGCAATTAACATTTTAATTGTTATGCCAGAAACGAGAAGCAGAACGGAGTGTGAGTTGCTATTTTATTAATTAATAACATTCGTTGCTATTAATTTTTTTCGTTAGAGGTTGTTAAAATTTACCTATTTTTTTTATTTAAATATTATCAAAGTTTCTAATATTATATGGGTGGCATCCTTATTTGTCATCCGTTCGTAAGTAATTATACTACGATGGTTGCTCTTTTAGAGTGTTCTCTCTATGAGAATTCTCTCAAGTTGAGGGAAGTTAAGGGAAAGTTTGGGCAAAATATAACATACTGCTTTATACTAAATTAAACGCAGATTTGACATTTTTATGTACGCTGTAAAATAAATTTATCTTGCGCTGTTGAGATGTTTTACGGACACATCGACTCGAACATATTTATTGATTATCATGTTAATACATGTCTCAAGAGAGAATCGATCCCACGACCATGCCCATTACATACCAGCTGTACCAACGGAGTCTCAAAGTACTAACATTTATAGTAGTGCTCTATCGAACATATTTTCAAATACATGATCCTGTTACATAGAATATATTAAACAACAAAGCTCGTTATCATTATCGCGCGAGTATATTATCACCAGCTTATCTATATTAATAGAAACGGAGGCCCAAAGCGAACTCTGATTTATCGATTACTGGCATCTACCAATTATCAAAACTCTTCTATAAATCCTGACCTTTCCGCATTACAGATAATACAGACCGTGTACCACACGATCGCCTTCCTGAACGACGTCTTCGGATCTACAGCAGCCTCGCCGAGGAGTAGGCCGCTGATCCGCTCGATAAGGGACACACTGTTCAGCTTGGCGTTCCCAATCGCGCTCTACGTGTCCACGGCATTTTGGGCCATATACGCAGTGGACAAAGACCTGATATTCCCCGACCACATAGAAAAGCTCTACCCGACATGGGTGAACCACGTAATGCATACGACCGTCTCCGTGTTCATGTTCGTCGAGCTACTGCTCGCGTCCAGAAACTATCCTTCGAGGAAAATTGGCGTTTCGATCATCACTGCTTTCAACTTGGCCTACATGTCGTGGTTCCTAACCATCTACTTTAACACCGGCGCTTGGGTGTACCCCGTCTTCGAGCCGCTGAACTGGCCCATGAGGGTAGTTTTCCTCATCCTCAGCCACTCCACAGTGGTAGGTTTCTACCTCATCGGCGAGAAGTTGAACTATCTGGCCAATCCCAACACGAAAGCGTACACTAACGGGACAGTGACAGAGGCATCACCGAAGAAGAAACGTTGATTGCTAATCGCGTTGCAACGAAAGCCCCGGGCTACAAATGAAGATTATGAATCGGCAACAATGGATAACCAAAACAATAGCATCAATTTCAATTCCTCTCCACGCCGATGTAAATATTTGTAGGTAATTTAAAAAAATACTAATGTTAAGCCATAAAAAACATTCCAAAATCGTATTTTGTTTTGCTCAAATTCCTTTCATGAAAGAGAAAGCGACAAAATAAAGTGAAAGTGTATGCAACTATAAGGTGATTTACGTCTGCCATAGACAAGAAAAACGACCAATGAATTGAGAGCAAATTGTTTTGGTAGCCTTTAAAAGTGCAAATCTTTCTTTAATTATATGAAAAGTTATCAAGCGAGCAGCCGGCTAACCGATGTTAAGTGATTACCGCTGCCCATGGAGATCTACAACACCTTGCGGATTGCATACGCGTTGCCAATTAGTAAAAAAGGGGGCACCGGCTCCCTCATTCGCCAGATGAAACGCGAAATTTAGTACGTCCACTTCACGCCGGTCTTCTGTGAGGCCGCGATAATTCTACGGACGAGCCTGCCCATTTGTGCAACATAGGACGCTGCGTTGCTCTATCACAGCGAAACAAACGCACATGCACGCATTTTAAACGCACGAGGTGAAATTCAAATAAATATAACTCTATGCTACTTCCCCAGCGTGAAAAACATGAAAAATCTAAAAAAGAGAATAATACAAATATTAAATTGGGGCTGAAAAAACAGACAAGATCTTTTTGGCGTTTTTACTAGATAATGGTAGGGACCCTTCGTGCGCCAGTTCGACTCGCCCTTGGCCGGTTGTTTTATGTTAATCTAATATTAAGAGATAACCGCCGCCCGTAGACATCCGCAACACCCCTTGCGTTGCGTGTGCGTTGCCACCTTTCAAAAATGCGTACCTCGGTTACATCACTCGTCAGATGAAAAGCAAAACACTAACACTTCCACTTCACGCCGGTACTCTGGGAGGTCTTTGTACTTCCCCAGAGAACTCTTCCCCTGCCCATTCGTAAAGCAGCAAATACTTGCTTGGCCCACCCACAGTAAAAATGTTTGGAGCAACAATCTGATTGACACACTGGATTGATTCCGTCCTACGACGGAGGGTATTATAATATTACTAATATTTATAAAAAAGAGAAAAAAGAAAAACTTCATATCGGAACAGATCGACTTTATTCCAGGTTTTATTAACACGACAAAGACTTTACAACCGTAGTAATACTGATGCACGCGACCTGTCAAAGCGAAGAGGAAGGAGACAAACACAATGTTAGCGTTAAAACTTGAACAGTTTGGTCAAGGTGAAACGCGCCTCCGGCATCTGCTTTTTGTTGTGCGTTGCCAAGTTATTGGGCGTGTGGGTGCTGTGACCGTACGCGACCTGCCTGTTCAGCAAAGTCGCTATGTGGAGCACGTCGAGGCTGTCGCGGAACTTGTCTATCACTTTGCACAGCTCCTGGACCATGAAGGAGCCCAGCACGTTGCGGTACGCCACGAAGCCTGAAAGCAGTGTTCGCTTGAACGGCGAGACAACTCGATAACGGTGGCCAAATTTCTTAGGAGACAACAGAACTATATTAGAGAGATAATAATATCATCACCATTTCAGCGTGTTAGAGTCCATTGCTGAATATCCATCGTCATCTCGCAGATATGTACTACAAAACATATAGCAACATATTTTGACATCGATGATGTAAATGTGAATTTTTGTGTAAGAGCTGAATGGATTTAAAAGTTGACTTGTTTATCGGCACAAAGCTTCTATTTAATTTACCAAAGAAACATGCGGTCGATGCAGCGGTTAAAGCGTCTGGTGTCAGTTGGGGAAAAGCATAGATTGGAAAGAATCACCTTCGACGGTAGAGTACATAACAAAAAAGTCCGCGTGTGAGGGAACATGGAAATTAACATCGTCTTCGCCGTCTATTTGGACCGTTCTGCCGGAGTCCATTTCATCCCCCCTACAGGCCTGCAAGTGGAACATACGCTATAAATTCTCCTTCACTGTTATATATGTTATTCAAACATAAGGTCGATTTCACCAACTATAGAAAACCATTAATATAGTAATATAGTTACTTTTACTATAAATTGAATTTTTGTATAGTGCCAATCTATGCACTTAAGATTGAACATTAAAATTTGTAGAAAAAGTACGAAAAGATTGTCGCCGCTGTGGAAATCGAACCCACGTCTTCGGCATTCGCGGCCTGACACTTTAGCCACTAAACTAAACGGCTGATTGTCACACCGACGAAAATCTTAACGTCCTTTATCTACATTGTTCTTTAGCATTTGAAGAATGCTTGGCGCATTCATTGTTATATCCTTTCCAGCATACAAACAATTTCGAATATCGTTTTACAACGATATTTCGAACGAGAGACAGCGCCATTGCTCTTTAGAAATTAAATTTTTTTAATTTCGTACATTTTCGTTTTGTTGTCACTTTAACTAGGTTTAAGTCGAGATGTTCGAATAACTTATATGAGTAAAACATCGGGTACATTACATGATTGATATTTACTCTTCTTTATCATTAATTATTCATTAATTCAAAAAACTTAACACTTTAATTTTTAACTCTTATCAAATGTTTTGTATAACACTTATACAAATCTATATATCTATAAAGTTTAAAGCAAACAAGCAAGGCAGATACGACAAAGATATGGAAAGATGTTTGAATACAGAAAATATGACAAACGGGGCTCTTCTTATTGTAGGGCGTGGGGCGTGACGACATTTTCAAAGAAGGCACGTCTATCAACACAACATACCGAATTTCTGCGGCAATCATTCATAAATAGATGTCGACTTAAAAAAGTAAAATGAGGAAGAAGTGTAAACGGAAAGAGAAAATTGTATTGTTTTTTGTCGACTTGTATAGAGGATCTATTTGCTTTATTCTGTAGCCTTTAGAATATGGGCTTGTTTTCTTTTTAGTTTGTATGGCGTTGTAACGCGCAGTACCTGTATGAAGAAGAGTTTCGGCTTGTTCACCAGGCTCTTGTCACCGTTTTCCAGGATCTTGGTGACGTCACTGAACAGGTAGGGCCGGTCCGCCGCGAGCAGTTGGCCGCCCTTCTCGCCGTGTGTCAAAATCGCGAAACACAAGCACGACGTCATACTGTGATCCATCCGACTTACTGGTTAGAACAACAATGATTAATCGGTAGAGAGGTTTAACTGATGTCTCCGTGGCGCAGTTGCCAAGGTATTGGTTTCGGCGTCGGGGGTCGTGGGTTCGATTCCCACACGGGACAACTATTTGTGCGACCCACAGATAGTTGTTTCGCATCTGGGTGTATGTCCACGTGAATTTTTTTTTTTAGTTAAAAGTTCCCAAGCGAGCAGACGTTTCACCTGATGTTAAGTGAATGCCGCCGCCCATAGACATCTGCTACACCCGAGGGTTCCAGATGCGTTGGCAACCTTTTGCAAATTGGGCTCCGGCCACCTCACTCACCAGACGAAACGCGAAAGTATTATACTTCCACTTTACGCCGGTCTTCTGTGAGGTCGTGGTACTTACCCGGACGAGCCTGCCCATTCGTGCAACAGCCGTGGCTTCTGGGTGACCGGCGAAATTATGTTTATAAAACGTCCTTACAGCACAGGATAATGTTAAGGTTACGGCAAATCATTAGAAAATATATATGTTTAGAAATTAAGGGTGCATCACAACGAACAACACTAGCTAATTATAAAATTGATCGTAATACTGTATCTATGAAGTGACGTGGAACATGTCGTTAAGATGACTAGTACAGGATAGAAAGAAGAAAATGTCCTTGGATCTTTACGCACTTGAAAGCAATACTAATAGAGAAATTAGACTATGGTCATATCTTCAATAATCCATTGTTTATTGAAGATATGGCCATAAGAATGACAAGTTCACCGTATCTTTGGAACTGGATCATTAACACAAATAATAATTTTCAACAAAAAAAACCGATTTCAAACAGGAAACTAATAAAACGTTGTCAACGCCTAACATTTGAGGATTCCCCTTGATTTCTCTGGGATGCCATCATCCTTGGAATATCTCCTTTCCAAAAAAAAAAGAATCATGGAAATCGGTTCATAAATGGCGAAGTTATCCCCGAACACACATAAAAAAAATAAAAATATATACTGTCGAATTGAGAAACCTCCTCCTTTTTTGAAGTCGGTTAAAAAATAGCTAATGCCATTCACGGTTTCCAATTATAAAGAGTACTATACAGGTAATAAGCGAACCTCGTGGTTTTCTACATGCTGCATTTTGCAGTGTGTTCCAGAATTACAAGATTCGTTTACATCCTTCCCTTTCCATATTCCATTTCGCACAAAAAGCCTTGACAATATCGCCACATACCATCAGGTGGAATAGCAGTCAACAACTGAGCAATTCTTTATAAAAAATACAATTAAAGTAACACTATTATCGTAGTATGTTAGTATAGTGTTAGTTGCGGCGAAAGCCCTTACTTTCAAGTGCCTTATTGAGTATTTCATCGTGTTCTAAGTCGTGGTAAGTCAGGATCTTATATCCCAAGTCGGAGAATGTCTTCTTGAGCGCCATAACGTCCCTGTCGGTCCCCTTTCTCGACGAAGGAACCTGAAAACTGGACATTTTCAATGAAAACTTTAAAACAATCATGAGAGCTGCTTTGTAAAAATTTTGTCGTAGGTACATTTTAATTGAGATTAAGTTTTATAATGTTATTCTCTACATTTAGATGAAATTCAAAATGTAAAAAATAGCCATTAAGTTTTTCGCCGCTGCGAGGGTTTGAACCTGCGTCCACCAGGATACCCACCCGGTGCTGTAGCCACTGAAGCCAGCTGAATGGTTATTTGTCTACAGCGTTAATAAATCTCAGCGTATTAATCTAATCTGTTTAATTTTGTTTTTTAAGCAAGTCCATTTGTTTCAAATCTTTCCTAAAAATGTTGTGAACATTAGATTCAGTCTTCACATTTTTGAAAACTTTTGAAAACTTTTGGCCAGAGGGAGTACTGTTTAGGCGTTTTGTGGACTTCACAAAACCCAAAATGAAAAATATGGCAAACCAAAACAACCAGTGATGGGTAGTACACCAATAAACAAGAACTATAATTTCGTGAGTTTCAACTGCAAGGGTTTGTCTGGAGCTATGGGATGCCTAAGAGACTCATGTAAGTCTGCTGACATCATCGCACTGCAAGAGACCTGGCTACTGCAACACGACATTCCGCTGCTGGGAGCAATTGACACGGAGTTCGCGTATACAGGTAACACAGCTGTGGACCTGTCGGCGGGGATTCTACGTGGTCGGCCCTATGGTGGAGTGGCGCTTCTATGGCGTAAGTCCTCTTTTCCGTGTGTGTCTGTAATTCAGTGTCAGAGTGTGCGATTAACTGGGATTAAGGTTTCTATGGGTAGTAGATCAATGATTATAATATCAGTGTACATGCCTACGGACGAACGTGACAATTTAGCCGAGTTTGTATCGTGCTTAGCCGAAATAAGTGCTATCATTGAAAATGAAGACGTGGACTTAATTTATGTGTTGGGTGACTTTAACGCGCATCCTGATACCCCCTTTTTCAATGAGCTTAAAGTATATTGTAGTGAGCAACAACTAAGCATGGTTGATACTGAACTTTTGCCAGCGGACTCATATACTTTTGTGAGTGATTGTCACGGGTCTACGCGGTGGCTTGATCATTGTGTGTCCTCATTAGCCGCTAGACAAACTATTGTGAGTGCAAAAATTCATTACAATGTGTTTTGGTCAGATCACTTACCGTTAGAAATAGTTTGTAATTTACAGCAAAGTATACCGAAGTTGTCAATAGATGTCAATGATTGTAATAATACAGTAAAAGGTGTTATATGGGGAGAGAGAGATCAGTCGCAAATAAATAAATATCATGATATGTCAAAGTAAATTAAAAAACATAGATTTTCCTGACGCATTTCGACTTTGCGCTGATAAATTATGTAATAATGATAGCCATAGAGCCACAATAGATGGGCTTTACCAATCAATTGTAACAGTGCTGACAGAGGCCTCAGTATCTACCTTTAAAGGTGCAGCATGTTACAGGGGACGTCACGTCACGGGCTGGAATAAGCATGTTCGACAGGCACAGCAAAAGGCTAGAATATGTTTTCGGGAGTGGTGTTTGTATGGTAAGCCGAGGGCTGGTAGTGTTTATGAGGCGATGTGCAATACCAGAAGAGAATTTAAAGCTAAACTGAAGTACTGCCTTAAGCACAAAGACCAAATAAAGATGGATATAATAGCTGACCATCATAAAGCAAAAAATTTCTCTCACTTTTGGAAATCCACTAATAAATTAACCCCAAAAGTAAACGTGCCGGCTAGTGTGGATGGTATTAGTGCACCCCGTGACGTGGCCAACCTCTTTAGAAGCCATTTTAAAGTGGAACCACTCTTGAATCCTGAGAGGTGTGAGCGGATGCTGGATGCTGGGACACGGCCTCCTGGTGACTCTCTGGTAAAAATAACAAGTGGGGAAATTGCCACCGTTATTAAACAGATGACAAGAGGCAAGTCACCGGGGCACGATGGTCTCAGTATCGAGCATCTGCAACATGCTGGGCCTCACCTGCCTAGAGTTTTGTCTGTGCTGTTTACTTTATGTCTGCGTCATAACTACCTACCAGCAGAAATCATGAAGACTATAGTTGTACCTATTATTAAGAATAAGACTGGTGACGCTTCAGATAAGGGTAATTATAGACCAATATCACTTGCGACAATTCTCGCAAAGGTGCTGGATAGTGTGCTTAATAAGCACTTGAGTCAAAACATCTCGCTACATGATGCTCAGTTTGGCTTTCGATCTGGGTTGTCCACTGAATCTGCAGTGCTGTGCCTTAAGCACACTGTCCAGTACTACACTGTTAGGAAAACACCAGTTTTTGCATGTTTTCTAGATCTTTCTCAGGCATTTGATATGGTTATATATAATGTTTTATGGAACAAATTAAAAATACAAAGTACGTTGCCTATGGAAATTATTAATATCTTTAAATTTTGGTATGACAACCAACGTAACGTTGTTAGATGGGCAGGGGAATATTCAGAAGAATATAAAATGATGTGTGGAGTAAGGCAGGGGGGATTAACCTCACCTACTTTATTTAACGTGTATGTCAACGGACTGATTGGGGAGCTCAGCAGTGCTGGTGTCGGTTGTTCGGTAGATGGCTGTTTTATTAATAACATTAGCTACGCGGACGACATGGTACTGCTGGGCCCTTCGGTCAACTCGGTGAGAACCCTGTTAAGCATCTGTGAAAAGTATGCCATGACCATGGACTCAGATACAACGTGAAAAAAAAGCGAGCTGCTGGTCTTTAAGGCAGGTACTAAAACTTATCGTGTTCCTCCCATTACACTTAATGGAACTGTCTTACAGCAAGTTTCTAAGTTTAAGTATCTGGGTCACTGGGTCACCGAGAATTTGTGCGATGACATGGACATTGACAGGGAACGCAGAGCATTGTCGGTAAGGAGTAATATGCTATCCCGCAGGTTCGCACGTTGCTCGCGCGAAGTTAAGGTAACACTTTTTAAAAGTTATTGCCAAACATTGTACACGTGCAACCTGTGGAGCAATTACACCAAAAAAGCATACAATGCTCTGCGTTCCAGTACAACAACAGCTTCAGGAGTTTGTTGGGGCTGCATTGGCGTTGTAGTGCTTCAGGCATGTTTACCGATTACAGCACTGATAGCTTTGAGGCAGTGCTTCGAAAAAGAGCTGCCTCCTTATGGACGCGGGTGAGGAGCAGTTCCAACACACTCCTGAAGGTTGTGTCTGATCGAGTGGACAGCCCAATAATAAAACATTGGGCTTTCATACATGTCCAACATAATAATAATTATTTTAAATTTTACTAACATAGTTTTTAAGTTTCTAACTAACACTATGGACTTGTATTATGATTTATTATGTGCAGTCTGAAATAAATAATTTCATTTCATTCATTTCATTTCATTTTGAGTAATTCCCTACGTACGATTTAGATACGGGTTTTCCTTTGTTTTAACCTATGAACAGGTTGAAATCAAATTTTTTTTTATATTTTAAGCAGATCAATTATGTACGTCTGAAACGATTTGTCAACAAAAACACATGTTTTATAATTCGATCCTTTCGTTACCATTAATATCATTGTGGTCCTGCGTTTAATAATAATTTACGTACCAAAATAAACACTTAAACACAAATAAATATTACATTCGGTAGCAAACAATCAAATGTTGTGATTATCAAATCAAATAAAAATTGATATAAATTAATCACAAAATGCCAGATGTACAAACTTCGTAAAATTAATCATCCACCCACCTTTTTTGTTTATAATAAATTAACATAAGTCTTACGTACTTGAAATAACGGGTTCTCTTGTAAGTTGTGTGGTTAAAGATTATAAGATATTTGTCCCCGCTCATGTCGTAGAACAAATCGTCCGGATCGAATTTTGGATGCAGCTTGTGAACTTTAGTCGATTCGTTATTCGTGTCTTCATCATTAGTGGTCGGTTGACTGCAATTTAAAATAAAGTAAAGTAACAGCCTATAATTGTCCCACTGCTGGCCAAAGGCCTCCTCGGTAAAGAGGTTAAGAGGGTATCAGGGCACAGTCCAACCACGCGACCCCACTGCGGATTGGCGGACTTCACATATTTTCGAAATATTTTTTATTATTTCGAAAATATGCAAGTTTCCTCACGATATTTTCCATCACCGCCGAGCACGTGATAAATCTGCACTTAAAATTAACAATTTCATTGGTGCTGGCAACGGAGATCGAACTCAGGTTGCTCGAGTAAATTGAATTAAAGGCGAGCGCCCGTACAATGAGCTATCATGGCTCTGACTGCAATTTAAAATAACAAAAATATACTTATACATACATAATTATATTAAGGTTATACTAATAACAGTTGTTCACCGATCAATTTGCTTTATTAGTAATATTTTTATCTGGTTTCATAATTTCAAAACATGTTATTACTGAAGATTGCTGTGAGGTTTCATAAGGTGTATTTTATATTTCTTTTAACATACAAGACCAAAAAGCAAGCGCTTTATGGTAAGTGATAACCGCAACCCAAAACATCCGCAATAAATACACGAAAAGCGTGATATTTTTGCTGGGTATGCTATCAATGAGTTACAGAATCGACCTGCGGTTACCCCTTTCGCCGGCCTAAAGTTTATTTTTATGTGACAAGGTGGCAGCTGACGGTTTCCCTGATGTTAAGTGATAACCACTGCGCATAGATTGCCGTCTTTTAAAAATACAGGCCTCGGTTACCTCACTCACCAGACGAAGCGCAGAAGTATAAATTATGCTTCCTAGAATTGACATAATACCTACTTGATTATATATCGACTACACACTAGGTTTCAGAATAGTTTTATAAAATAGTGAATATGTATATATATAGAGTTATCCATAGCAGTATACTTTAGGCTGAGGATGTCGATTCGCAAACCGAGGACACGGGTTCATATTCCAGTAGTATACATGTCTTAAATTTTTTGACCGGTAAGTGGCAACAAGATTACTATCTGTAAGCAACTAGCTAAGTCTGTGTTTGTCTGCAATAATAAGGTTAATATTCTTAGACTTAAAGGAAAAAAAAGGTCGAAGCAATAATTGCGACTTTTAGATTGAGAGTTTAGCTTTGCAAATGCCTAAAGTCAATATTACTATTACTTTAATATCAAACGTAGTCACGTTCTTCATGTATACAATTAAAAAAATCTAAGAATACAGTATAATTATGACTATTACCTAAACTTTTTTATAACTGTTTTGTACTACTCCTACACATATACGTTAAAAATAATAATTTACCTTGACAACGAAAAGCTTGGCGTAACATCAGGGAAACTTTCTTCCATTTCGATTTGTTTTTGAAGCACAAACAAACTGCTTAAACCATGAATCGTTAACAATATAATGAAACTATTTTAACAGCTAAAGTGCAAAAAAGATAACTTCAGTGACACCATAATCAGATAAAAGAAACATGGACCGCAAACTAATGATAACGCTAGCTGATAATATTTATTTATATATGAAAATCTGAAAACTGAGAAATTGTATTTAATATATTACAACTTAATTATCACTTATTTTAAACCGGGTCTTGAACTCCCGGATATATTGAATTAATACTGAGTGCCCGGACACTGAGCTATGGCGGCTATTTTTCTAAATTACTTTAAATCAAGCTCATACTGATTTATTGACTATCGTTATAGTAAATACTGTACAATATATCGCAGCACTACTAAAAAATTAATGATGCATTACACTTTGAATAAAAAGGTTTTTTCATTTTTAGGTTCCCGTACCTAAAGGGTAAAACGGGACCCTATTATTAAGACTCGGCTGTCAGTCTGTCACCAGGCTGTATCTCATGAGCCGAGATAGTTAGACTGTTGAAATTTTCACATATGAGTAATCATTAAAGAAAAATAACGAAAAACAAATAAAATATATTTTTATTTATTAAAAGATTTGTCTTTTAAAAATATTCATACATTTAAATCAACACATTAGATTCAAAGCCTTTTAATAAAAATGTTATGTTGTCACTGTCATCTACATCGTTTTTTCTTCTTGATCTTTTTCTTCGACTGCTCCATTGTACCGTTGTGAGATTCATAACATTCATGTATACCTTAAAAATATGCCATAAGCTTTTATAAAACAGTAAAACACTTTCAGCACCTTTTAAATATTGGTGTATAAAATTTAGGGGTTCAACCTGATTCTCTAATTTTAAAGCCATATTGTAAATAAATGTCCCATTATAGCATTTAGAGTATGTTGTACTTTCAAATGGACTTCGACACAAAATATTCAAACTGTTGATTTGATGTAAACAACACTGGAATTGGGCAAAAGAATGAATCTTTCTTACATCATAACTTTTAGGTCTCTTTTTGATGCTATCATCAATTTCAAAATGCTTCAACAGAACACTGGCTGCTATGAGACAATCCTCATATTGAACTTTATGCTTATTCAGTAAAAGTTCATCTTCAATTGATGGGGTACTAAGAGATCTCTTCTTCAATTCTTCTAATTTCTTTGAATGCTTGTTATTAAAAAAGTTGTGTCCGCGAAATGTTCCAGTTTTTTCATCAACAACTTCTAAATATACATAGCTCATTATTAAACTATGAATATGAGCAAGAGGCACATTGCATTTTGCTACCCACCACAGCAGTGATATCATAAATAATTGAAAATTTGATGGCAACAATTTGATTGTACTATAATCAATTAATGGTAGTTTTTCACCAAGGAAATGATAGAAATACTCTTTTAATTGTTCATTAGACAGTTCACTATAAGGAATATCTAAATGCCTTGATGTAGAGTACTCTTCGCCAACAAATATTCTCTGATAATTACTGTCACTCTCCCTGCTAACATAAACAAAATTGTCATGTGCGAAATCTGTGAGAATGTCAAATGCATATCTCATAACAGGTAAAGCACACAAAAATGAATCTTTATCAGAATAGTCTTCAGCTTGTGGTGAACAAAAATGTAAATGATGTGTGAAAAGATTTATGTAAGATTGTGGAATATGATTCAGTCGAATACCATCAGCAAACCAGATGGGCATACCATTAAGGCTATCATTTTGGTCAAGATCATTTTCAGTAATGTTTTGCTCTTCAGACAAATCTATATTTTCTCTGTCTGACGATGTAATTGAATCTGTATCATCCCCAAGATCAGTGTCACTTTCATCTTCATTTTCAATATGATTTTTATCAATATTTTCTGGCATCTTAAATTCAAAATCTTCTTTAATTGCTTCCTCTAATAGATTAAAATACTTCATTGATCTACAATGTTTTCTGTGGTAACCTTGTACACTTTTTTTAATTATATAAAATGCTTTTTGTTTATGATTCTTTTTCAATCTTCCCAATATTTTGGCTATTGCAGAATCAAGTGTCTCATTTTGCAACCATTTAAATAGTGCATGAATGCTTTTTTGCTGCTCATTTTTCTTTTTTCTACTTTTTTGTAGCTTTAACTGTGAGAAAAATTTCCTAAAAACCCGTTTTTCAACAAAGTCATTACCCAGTAAGGTAGCGAGTAGAGGCAGCAGCTCTTCATTCAGGCCTCCAAAGTTTGATGCTAAATGCTCAACTTTATAAATCTTACATTCCATAGCATGTACTTTATTACTATTTATTAAGATCTGTTTACATTTCATTTCCATTGTATTAAATGGTATGTACAATACATTATAAATAAAGAAATCAGAATCATAACTCAATACTGGGCAATTTAAAAGTCTAGCCATTGCAGCGATTTCATCATCTGCTTCAAATTCACATACTGTGAATGCTATTTTCATATCCAATAGAACTTCTTTAAAAACATCTCGTAAAAGCAATGGAAATATTTGCAAACTACTTTGCGTGACTGGATCCAATCTAGAAGCACCATTAATTTTTGATCTAAGTCTATTATAAGCCGTTTTAAGTTTTCTCATCTCGTAACTACCGTCAAATAACACATACGGTGTGATTTTACATTTGCGCAAATTCTTGAAAAATGTTTTCGTATACGATGCAAATTTATCGTAATCGCCACCAAAAGCTGAGAAGCAATTAAGTGACCGATATAGCTGAGCGCAGAGACTGTGGCCATCAATGACAAGATTTGAATCATAAAGATTGTACCGGCGCAGAAATATATCCTGATTGGTATTTATGTACGTAGTTAACCCTCGAACACCCATGTTAAAATAATTTGATCAATATCGCTTTAATAAGTAGTACATTGCAAAGTTAATTTTTGAAACTTTATAGAGGTTATGTTGTGTTGTCCAATAGCACAATACCTTACAAAATCAAATGAATGACATTACAATGACAAATTGACAACCTTGTCACACACCTGTGATTGTCAAAAGTGTCAGTGCGAACTGCGATGTTAACGACCATCCACTAGAACCACTCTATTAACAGTAAAGTGTTGTCTACGTACAGTAGAAGAACTGAATAGTTAATGTTCTTGTCAATATGTTCCGTTTAGTAACACGGACTTAGAAAAGAAATATGATGCTGGTGCACGGTGGCGAAACTCACGGTCTATTAATGAAAAAGGTACATTTCGATGGCGGAGGGCGTGGCTTCATTGTGTCGTCTTGGTGCAACAGTTACGTCGTCGGTCATTTATCCTGAGTCCGCGGGTCGTTTACCTACGGACCTCTTACGACGGGATATCTTCGACAGCATCTTGTCTTATCGGGCATCTCGAAGCAGTCTTCTCGGGCTAAGGGGCGGTTTTTAGAGGCCGCCTGTAGTTAAAATAGGGGAGGCCTCAATTGGGACTGTTTCGTCTTCGATGGTACTCGGAGTATGCATCGATTCGGCGTTGTCTTTCAACGATCACGCAAAAACTACTAAATATATTTTAATGAAACTGTACAATAATACAGCTTCGTTATAATTTATAAAGACAATGTGTGAATTGCCCAAAATATAGTTAATAATAAGTTGCAAATAAGTTGGAAAAAATTCAGCCCTCTGCGAGATATTCTGGTGTAATAAACTCGTTGTTAATTCCCTAGGGCCGCGCGGGCGAAGCCGCGGTTAACAGCTAACTTTTTATAGTGCTAATCTCTGCACTTAAGATCAAACATTAAAATTAGTACGGTAGTGTTAATTAGTATTTAAGATCACGATATAATTCGACATTCGGCATAACACAGGGCGCTGTTTGAACGTTTGGAATGCGCTTTGAATCATTTCAAAGTGGTTTCGAGCGTTTGCTAAAAACATACGGGAAACTGACAATCGCGTGTGTCACTATAGTACTTATTTTCTGTATATGATCTTTGCGTCTTAGTTTCAATTTACTAGACGCTCGCGTCAGAGGTAATAGATGAAACTCACAATTTAATGGTGTTAAAATTTCGACTCTTTTATTATAGACCTTCGGCTTGACTTTGATCCCTCGAGGGGCAAAGTATTCACTTGGAAAGTTACTTGTGTATACCCTTTCGCAGCCTCTCATCTGAGGGGTACTTCGGTAAAGGCCGGGGCGGCATCAGAGGTAGCTGAAGTAAATAAATGGCATAATTATGAGTCATTTTGTTCAGGTTATGTGTTTATGCTATTTGCAATTGAAACCTTAGGTACATGAGTCCCCGTACATAGAAATTTTTGAAAGATTTAATGCCCTAGCCTTTTTTTTCTTAGCCATACGTCTGGTGACGAAAGGGTTGGTTCTTTTCTCGACGAAGGTTAAGCATAACTATTCGGCGAGGAAATGCAGTGTAACTAGCATTCAGCATTTTAGGTATCATGCCGCGTGGTCTAATTTTATTAGTTAACATATAATTTAGTTAGATTTCATAATTTAAAAATTTTTGTTGATTATAACTTTTTAGCTAAGTAGCTTCTTCAAAATAATGTTCAACATATTGTGAAGAAGATAATCTACAAAACCCGCATTCCTTTCAGTTTTCTCACTCTGTGGTGCTTATGACATTGTCAATTATATTTTAGTGCCGGCATGTGCGTGTGGGGCAAAAATTAGAACACGTGTTTAGAAAACATTTATATCAGTAATATAAAAACTTGTATATCTCTCAATAAACTATTATTTTATCCCTTCATTCGTTTTTTTAAATTTGTAAGAGCATATTTTAACAAAATCACTATACTTTACGTCATGCCCTTAGCACTGAATATATAAAACATGTTTTGCTTTAATCTTGCAGGCACTGACTGCTACGATGACTGAAGAAAAAGAAGTCGCAACAGAAAACAATGATAAAGAAAACGGTAAAGAGAATAATTCAGAAGAAGAAACGGAATTAGATAGTTCTATCATTCGACAAGTGGAATATTACTTTGGTAAGTTACTGCTGAATACGGCTGATTGTTTATTTTAACTTAACCAAAAAAAAAAATTTTGACGTAATTTTGAAACTTAAATAGCGTCATGAATCCACGCAAAGGCTTCATGAAACATGCAACAGTTTTCTCCCTTTCCTGACAAATTGATTCATTAACTTTCTCAATCTTTGATACGACGTTCCATTGAAGTCCGTCGAATTGAGGGGTGGGAGGAGAAGTATTACCCCCTTAAAATGAAAGTTGCGGAGCCCCCATTTTCGCATTTTTTAATTTTGAGGTGATTTTGGTAAAATTTTGTATTAGCGCCGTGTTTTTTTTTTTTACCTAAAAAAACTTTTTTTTAAAACTTATTATTTCCACTAGAGAAATCTTCTATCATCCGCCATATTAAAAAAAAGAGTTTTTAAAAATACTAACACATCGTAGCACTGTCATTCTGGGTGGTCATAAAAAAATAACCACAAAAACTACCTACCTAACCTAATCTATCCATGTCGGATTGCTCTGTGTCGGATCTACAACTCACAAGTTTTTCCAAAAAAAAAATAATAAATTGCTTTATAATCGATACAATTATCGCGTTGTTCGCTTCTTATATTATATTTATCACTTGGTAGTACTGTGTATTGAGTTTTGAAGTCAAATGAGTAAAATGGCAGTCTTTCTTAGTGAAAATAACAAGGATTAAATATTTTTTTTCTCAAAAACTATGTATGTTGGAACTTTGCGTGTGTGCTTATAACTATGTAACCTTTCTGTAAAAAAAATATCAACTCTCAACAGACTTCAATGGAAAACTGAGCCTTTTATCTTTTTACATATTAGAAAATATGCAGTGTGAGGAATGCTGTATCCCTTTAATTGATTATATGAAATCAGGTCCCAATGCAACATTGCATGTCTTAAGGGCAGTAAACATATGGTGTTTCATGTTCCTTTCTATTTTTATACTGTTTTGTTTGTTTGAGAAAGAATTTTTTCGAAAACAAAAAAGTAAAGTAACATCCTTTATATCTCCCACTGCTGGGCAAAAGCCTTCTCTATACAGAAGTTATATGGATTGGCGGACTTCACTCTCTTTTAAATATTTTTATTCATTATTATTTCGAGAATATGCAGGTTTCCTCAGGAAAGCACATAAAATTAACAATTTCATTGGTCCATGCACTGGGGATTGAACCCAAATTCGAGCCTCGAGTATATTGAATTAAAGGCGAGCCTTGACACTTAACTATCACGACTACATTCAAATAAAGTAAAGAGCTAATCGATTATTACAGGAGTACAAAGTATTTAGATGTAGTAAAAGCCATGTTTTCAATTATAATGATTATGTCCACACACAGCTCCATATACTATATACATTTCATATTTCACTCCATCCATGAGTTTATTTACAGGTGATGTTAATCTTCCAAGAGATAAATTCTTAAAGGAGCAAGTTACATTAGATGATGGTTGGGTGCCACTTGATGTACTTATCAAATTCAATAGACTTGCCAAGCTCTCTACCGATGCTGAGGTCATTGCTAATGCCCTTGCCAAATCAACAAGTGGACTTCTAGAGGTTAGTTTTCATAAATTATTTAGCTAATCAATAAATCTATCAATAAATCTCTCAATAAATTATTTAGCTAATCAAAAAATCATGATTACAAAAAATTTTAACTAAACATTACTGGAATGTCAATATCTCTGATGAATTATTTTAGTTTAATCCCTGTATTGGTCATTTAGATTTCAGATGATAACAAAAAAGTAAGAAGGAATCCAGAGTTACCTATACCTGAAATGAATGAAGAACGCCGTAAAGAATTATCGAGTAGGACAATTTATGCTAAAGGCTTTCCTAAAGAATCTACGCTGGATGATTTGCTGAAGTTCTTTAAGGAGTTTGATGACGTTGAGAATATTATAATGAGAAGGTATCAAGAACGTCAGACAAAGAAAAGGCATTTCAAGGGATCCGTTTTTGTCACCTTCAAGACAAAGGAAATGGTACACTAAACAAAGTCACCTTTGCTTTATATTAACCTATATCATACTTCAGCTATCATATTTCAGCTATATATATAGCTGAAATATGATAGAATGTATAGTATAATAGTATATATAGTATTTTTAATATTATTAGTATGTATATATATATAATGTATAGTATTTTTAACAATTAAAATAAAATACTTTGGGTGACAAACTCTTTCGTTTAAACACTCATACTCTGTTCACACTTACATTTCAGGCTGAAAAGTTCATCAGCAATAAAGGCCTAAAATACAACGACACAGAGCTAATTGTTCTTTGGCAAGACAATTATTTTCAAGTAAAACAAGAAGAACATGCATCAAAGAAAGAGCACAAGGTTAAGAAAAACAAGCAGAAGGAAGTGAGTTCATTTCATTAATATGTTCCCCATAAATGTTTAAGGGTACAACGCCCCCATAATTATGTAATAATTTTTACCAGAAACATGTGTATATAAAATCAACAGTTTATAGTCATTAAATGTATATTTTTTTTATTATATAATGACTCTTTAAAAGTATGCTTTTAAAGAGATAGTTTTTTGATGTATGCAGTTTGAGATATAGTAATTAGGTTAAAGTTTCACAATTTGGTGAATATAAATATTAAATACTGTTTACAATTACATTCAGTAATTGTATTACTTAATTATGAAATATCTACTATCATATTTGTTCACCAAAATGTACAAAATTAAATTTTAAGTTTAAACTGTAAAATAACACTTTCTCCTATAATTTTTTTCTAAAATGCCACCTTATTTTATAGAGTTAATTTTTATTCATTTTTTGCTTTACAGACAAAAGATGAAAAAGTAGAATTTAAATTGCCAACTGGCACAGTTTTCCATTTTGCACATGGGAACGAAAAAATGACAAGGGAGAATATAAGAGATGCATTAGCAGCACTGGGTATAAAAGTTTTATTAATTGAAATAGCATGCACACCAAAATTCAAAAGTCAGATTTAGTTTCTAGATTTACACTGGAAATTGTCAAGTATGCTTTTTAAGTGTTATTGTACACATCTTACAATGTGGTATTTTATGAGAAACAATAAAATTTCAGGTGGTGAAGTAGCATTTATTAGCTACCAATTAGGGGAACCGGAAGGTTGGGTTCGTCTTACAAAAGAAAATGCCGCCAAAGAGCTATCAGAAAAGATACCAGACGGCAAACTGAAAATTGAAGATACTGAAGTAGTCTTTAGACTTCTGGAGGGTGAAGAAGAGAAGGCATATTTGGATAAAACAGTTGAGGAAATGTCAAAACGCCGTAAGAACATGAAAACCTTTAAACAGAACAAAGGTAAAAATGGTAGAGGAAAACAAAATAGGAAACGAAAACAAGATCAGCATGACGATGCGCCCGCTGCCAAAGTCAAGGCTGACAGCTAGTTTAGTGTTACATATGATAGGCCTACAAAATGTTTCTTATTCTAAGATCAAGGTTCCTGTTGTTATGAAAAGATATTTGCTTGACTTTAATATTTTTATTTCACTCTATGCGTACCAATAATGAACATGTAATAAAATTTACATAACATACCGCATCATTTCAATTGACCTTGTATATACATAAAATGTATATCAAATATGATTAAGAATTTACAAAAAGTTACTTCCTACAGGTATCTTAGTGCATCTATGTTACATATTTGACTTAGAATAGAACATGTTAAAACTTGCTACGGTTCAATAAAATTACTTAAAAATAACCAAATCTTTATTTACAATGAGTTTTTATAGTACTGTACTCTGTTAGTCGAAAGACTTTGACCGCTTAGTAGGATAATGTCCATACTAGAAGTAGCGCCACATAAGACCGAGGCAATGTGGTTCCATAAAATGCCAAGAGGCACCAGGACCCACCCAACTCATGTGTCCGTGTGGGTGGGTCTGAAATCAGGGTAGGTCGTTACATGAAGTACCTGGGCCTAATCCTTGATAGTCGCTAGGGCTTCGAAGAACACTTCGAGCGCCTAGTCCCCCGGATCGAGCGGGTAGTGGGTGCAATGCACAGACCGCTACCTAATCTTGGGGGACCAAGAGAAGAAGTTCGCCGCCTCTATGCTGGGGTTTTGCGATCCGGAGCCTTATATGGGGCACCTGTGTGGGCAAAAAGGCTCGCCATACGAGGTTGCAGGTCTAAGATCTACAGTGTCCAGAGGCGGATGGCTATACGGATCGTACGAGGGTACAGAACTATATCCTTTAAGGCGGCAACTGTCCTGGCTCACTTTCCTCCTCTGGATGTACTGGCGGAAATGGACGCGAGGGTGTACTACCGAAACCGCGCCCTCCGACAGAGTAGTGGTGAGCCAGAAGCGGTGCTCAAGTCCATCAAACGACAGGAACGGCATTCTGCTTTCTTGGTCTGGCGCGCTCGGCTCAGCCAAGAACAATATGTACATAAACGGGTCGTGGAAGCTAACCTGCCAGTCTTCGAAGCCTGGATGCAGCGACGCGAAGACAGGCTCACCTACAGACTTACACAGATAATCACTGGGCGCGGATGCTTTGGTGATTATCTGTGTAAAATTGGACGTGAGGCGACGGCGAATTGTTTCCACTGCGATGGAAACTACCAGGATTCCGCAACGCATACACTGGCGGTATGCCCAGCATGGGAGACGGAGCGGAGTATCCCGGTAAGCTACATTGGAGGAAACCTTTCTTCACCAGCAGTCGTATCGGCGATGTTGAGTCGAGATGCAGCATGGAGGGCCGTAACCTCGTTCTGCGAAACCGTAATGGTCAAGAAGGAAGCTGCTGAGAGGGACCGAGAGAGAACTGATCCCTCTCGGAGACGGGGTCACCGAGACGAGAGTACACCTCGTTACGGTCCTCCAAATATAAATAGTGTTCCCGTAACGGGAACGGGGCCTCAGGGATCGCGGGTGAGTGGGCCTCTTTAGGTCAGTACAGCGAACCCAAGAGCGACAATGGCTTAAGTAGGTTTAAGATGTAGTGGTTGCACCACGGGTGGGCGAAGTTATGTTACCGGGACGAGCCTATATAAGCCAAGCCAACGGGGGCCGCGGTAGTGTTCCAAACGGAGTGACTCCCCATGAAAGCAGATGGCGTCCACCGTGGGGTTTCGGTGAGAGTAACACATAATCCGGTTTCCCCTATGTGGGAGAGGCCGAGTATCCATAATGGATTTCCCCACGTATAAAAAAAAGAATGTCCATGGCCAAACGTACTGCTTTTAATGTTAAAACTTGTATGAATTGTTGGAAATACTTTTTTTTAATGTGAAAAAATGGCAAATGAGCTGGCGGTTCACCTGATGTTAAATGATAACCACCGCCCATGGACATTTGCAACACCCGTAGGGCTGCAAATGCGTTGCCACCTTTAAATAAAGTGGGCCCCGGCTACCTCACTCACCAGACGAAACGCAGAAGTGTAACACTTCTACTTTACGCCGGTCTTCTGTGAGGTCATGGTACTTACCCGGACGGACCTGCCCATTCGTGCAACAGTGTTGCGTGGCCCTACCACCGTGTCAAATACTTGTACATGTATAAGGCATACACTTGGAAAAATTACTATTTCTAAGAAGCATTACATAAAACTTTATTTTGCATCAAGTTCTTTTTTTTGACTTGCCTATTTTTTCATATCAATTAACAATGTTATTTACTTTAGTTAAATAAAAGTAATTTACTTTAATATAATTTAATTTTAGAACTTTTGCGCCAAGTATTGCTTCATCATCATCATTTCAGCCCGTTTGAGTCCACCGCTGAACATAGGCTTCCCCTACAGATTGCTACCAAGTACGATCCTGAGCCACCTGCATCCATCTATCCTTAAATACATTACCGTGCTACAGGTTATTTTCTGTAGCATTCAGTGGAGCGCAATTGTGTACCTGTGTGAGCCCTTTGAATTTATTTTAAGAAGTTGTCATTCTCCTCCGGGGGGTTTTAGTGTTTTGTGCTGTGGACTTACGGGTACAACAAATCTGGTTCACAACTCTATAGTGCTTCGCTAAGCACGGTGGCGCAGTGTCCGTCCGCTATCGTTGGGTTAATGCGGGACGCGTTGTCGGATGGCAGTGGTGAGAGAATTAAATTGTCAAACTCGCACGTTAATTCGTTTTCCAGATCCACTAAAAAGTTTATAGGACCACGCCGCGCCATTTCGAAAACAATATCTGAAAGGGAGCGGGATAGTTACTGAAAACTTTTACCTACTAACAAACTTGAATGACTATAAGTTATACTGTGAATAATATGACATTTGCATCATATTTTAATATCTGTGAATAATATGACATTTGATTAAAAGCAACAACTGACATGACATGACTGACGACTGTCAAAGTGTCAATAGTACCTATTCAAATATTGTTTCAGGCTAAATAAATAGATGCACTTTTATTTATTTCAATATATATTTTACTTCCGAACATGAAATCAAATGTTGATTCAACAAATGACCTGGATAACCCAACAGTAACTGGTGATGTCATTGGAGACACCGTGTACAGTGAACGCTTCGTTTTAAAAATACTTTTAAAGTTAGCCAACTTAGATTCTCTAAAAGATGAAATAAAGGAAAAATCATTTGAAGATGATATCTGCACCCTGTGGGACATGACTGTCGACAGGGATGTCGTACTATTCCTCTTGAAACACAAGGTTTTTAATCTTTTCAATTTCGCTTTGCCGGTAATTGAATCGCCGCGTTTCATCGAAATTATCGTTGGCATCGTTGGAAACATGTGCTGTCAGAAAGAGGCGACGGAAATACTTTTAAGTATGAACAAATTTTTATTCCTACTTCTAGAGTATATTAAAACAGATGATAGTTTATTACTCATTCAATTGTTGCGGTTAGTAAGCTCTAGTTTATCTTCAACTGTAAGCAATGACATACCTATTTGGATAAATATGTTTAATAAAGTTGATTACTCAAACTCATTATATTTTATTCTTAAAAACTCATCTAACAAGCAACTTCTAGTAACTGCATTGGAAAACTTTAACACAATTTGTTCATATTGTAATATACAAAGATATAGAACACAATATTTTGAACATTTTATATCAAAAGATGTTCTTTGTTCACTGACTACTGCATTCAGCGAAATAACTATTACACAAAAAGAAACCTGCTCTAAAGATGAATTGGAAAGAATTATTGTTATATGTCTACAAATGGCTTTAGACCTTGTCAGTTTTGATAAGCCTATTGAAATATTTGATGAATGTGAGGAAAATTTAACAATAATGATAAGCACCATTTTGAAATATTATGAAACCAAACTTGTACAAGAAAAGGAAATAGATTCAGATTTAGTGGAACTTGTAGATTGTATAAACACTATTGTAAGGACTGTCCCAATATGTGAAAATTGCGAGCCCGAAAAATACTTTGATAATTGTTATAGTATGTGGAAAGCTTTGAAATCTATAACCAATGTAAACCAAAATGGTGATAGTAACTTTGAAGAAGGTGATAAAGAAGAATTTCAAGATTTTGTAAAAAATATGAAGTCACCATTAAGTATTGCCATGTGTATGTACATGGAGAAATGTTCACAAGCAAACCTTTTAAAAGTATTGGATGCAGTTGGTGATGAATATGAAGATATATTAATGTCTCTCACAGAAACTGATATCAAAGTAACAGTTACTAATAGAACTTCCGATTATAGAACTAGAATAAAGGATAATGTTGATTCCTAATTGTTTTTATGTGTATTTAATAAGATAATTCCAAAATATTAACCAAATTAATGGTACAAATAGATTCATTGTGGCACTAGCCAATTAAGCATAAGTGACACCAATTTAATGTCCAGCCAAGTTTTTATCCCTTTTTGTAAAATAATGTGAAATTTTAGAATTGATGAAATAAGATCATGACATTAAAATTTGTGGAAGAATGAACAAAAAGTTCTTCATCACTGCAGAATTATTTTTGTTAAATGTTATTTAAAGTTGTTTATGCTTTGTATAAACAACTTTAAATAACAAAGCAATATATGCATCAAGCATTGTTTAAAATGCGAAAAAACAATGTATGTACATGAAAGTAGTTGACATTTTTGCTGGTGTGGCAATCAGTTGTTTAGCTCAGTGGTTAAAGTGTCCGAGTCAAAATTTGGAATTAGAGGGTTTGATTCCCGCAGCGGTGCCAAAACCTTTTGGCCATTTTATCTACCAATTTTAATGTTTCATTTTAAGTGCAGAGTAAGAGATAAGCATTATATAAATTTTGTGTCTAGTCGGTTCACGTTTGTAATTTGTAATCTCTACCATGTATGTGCTATGCGATTTGTAACATTTTTCTTTTATACTGGCAATGAATAATGCAATGTCTATGACAAAAGAAAATGCCGCTAATAGTGACGATGTTTGAATACATGAAGTTTAGGTGGCCCAAACTTTCTCTAAAAATAATTGTTTTCTTGTTGTAAAATTGATTCCTTTTGACAGTTAAGTTCCTTAAGTATCAGTGATACTAAGGTGAGTTTCAATACCCCAAATATAATTTTACTGGATAAATTTTTACTTTTAAGCGCTAGTCTCTGTGCTTTAAACTTTTAAAGTGCGAGATTTTTTTAGCCATCATTACATGCTTCGCATTACGCCATCTAGTGTGAATCCTTTACAGCATGCAAAACCTTCAAAGATTATTCAACTATGAACATTTGAAACGAGTGATGTCGTCTTTGTTTTTAAAATTTTATTTTTAATGCCAATTTCTGCACTCAAGATGAATTTAAGTAGAATTTTTCTGAAAAATTAAAAAACCTATATAAAATTAAAAAACTTATATAACAATAGATGGCGCCAAGCATTGCTTCAAATGCTAAGAAAACAATGTAGAAGAATACGTTAAGATTTTCGTCGGTGTGGCAATCAGCCGTTTAGCTCAGTGGCTGGAGCGTCAGGCCGCGAATGCCGAAGACGTGGGTTCGATTCCCACAACGGCGACAATCTTTTCGCACTTTTTCTACATATTTTAAACCTATCGTTATTATCTTAAAGTGAGAACAATTTTCTTGAGTTCGAGATGAATAGATACGAAAGAGAGGAGATTAGAAAATTAGCAACGAGAAAGGGTTTAACAGATTCATGATTTTTAGTGTTATCCAAAACTACTCACAACTTTAATTTGTAGCTACTCATGTTTTGTGAAATTTTAATGTTTGTTATATAATGAAAATACATCAGTTTAAAAGACTTTGATTTCATTGGCAACAAACTAAGCATACTTTATTTCTTGTATTTGGTAAGGTAAGATCTTTTATTTATTTCTATTATTCTTTAATTTTTAAAGACGCCCGGACACTGAGCTATCACAGCCTTGATAGCTCAGTGTCCGGGCGCTCGCCTTTAATTCAATATACTCGAGCAACCTGAGTTCGATCCCCGGTGCCGGCACCAATGAAGCTTTTAACTTTAAGTGCTGACTTAACACGTGCTGCGCGGTGAAGGAAAACATCGTGAGGAAACCTGCATATTTTCGAAATAATAACAAAAAAAATATTTTTCGAAGATATGTGAAGTGCGTCAATCCGCAGTGGGGCCGCGTGGTGGACTATGCCCTGATACCCTCTGTATAGAGGATGGCCTTTGCCCAGCAGTGGGACATGTATAAGCTGTTACTTTCCTTTCTTTAATTTTTAAATGCTCCTGTTATTTTCAATACTACCACCATTCAGTTCAGCAGCAGAAACATCGTGAGGAAACCTGCATATTTAAGAATAATAAAAGAATTTTTAGATGTGTGATATCAGCCAATCCGCATTGGGGTCGCGTGGCTGAATATCCTAAACATAGCAGTACTATAAAAGCTATACTTTACTTCACATTTTTCGTTATAACTTCTAGTTAATAAGAAAGGATCAGATGTGACATCTAAACTTTGGTTGTTTTTAGTCATATGAGAATTGATGTAAAATGCTGTGTCATTTGAAATGATAGTATATTTGAAAAAATGTACTTAGTGTTTTTGATATGTCTTGATTCTTCCATTAGAGTAAGGTTCAAAATAAAATTCCAACAGTTATATGGGATTATATATTTCGTAGACATTATAAAGCAACATTTACATTACCATAAACGAGTTTTATGCCGTCGCGAACGCGGCGGATTAAAACTATTCGAATGTAACAGTACATCGCAACAAGACTCGCTCGCGGCCATCGCGGCCTAACGCAATACACATTTGCTCCTCACATAAAAAAAACGTACACCACAAATACTGAAAGGGAAAACAGAGATTAATAACTGTATACTTTACATTAAATGTACTTATACACTAACTAACCACGAGCCTACTAGCCCCTCACGAGCGGGGACATTATCGCACAATTTAAATATCAATTCGTAAATATATTTAGATATTACATCGTTACAGAATAAAAACAGGATAAAGACTAGACTTTACACTGATCAACGACAAAATGGCTAACAGCAACATATCGCGAGAGGCGCCGATCTGCGGGCGGCGGGGACAACTTAAATCTATAAAAAAAAAGCGCCGCCGCTGGCAACACTGGCCCGGGATGCCTGTGTTGCCAACGCGTTACTCGAACAACTGAGCGAACAAATAATATAGCATCCTTAAAACGTAACATGTGACGCGCCACCGTCCGCAGAAGCAACACTTTATATACACTACGAAAACATACCTGGATACCTACTCAATAAATTACATAAATAATCTGAATTTAAAAACAAATCTTAGGCTTTCTGATAGACGTAACGTTTGTCGAGTACCGTAGTCAACGTTCCGTTTCACGCTGCGCTCTGTCATCTCTGCGTGTCGCGACTCTTCGAAAAAAAATGTCCAAATTAGTTCGTACCCAGTAAGGTAATGGATCGGACGTAACGTTGTCCCGTGCCACGCGCAGAGACAACGGAACAGGGGACGATAGACAATATTTACAAAAAAAAAAGTAGCGTAAACAAGCCCGCTGTTGATATGGACGCTAGTTGAACCCCCATTTGTACTGGCAGGGATATGTATCTTGCATATATTGTGACATCGAACAGTATAACATATTGCATTGCAACTCCTATCTATTTCGCCGTATCTATACAATAATAAGATATCATAGGAAATGTTAATAATTTATATCGAACTCGTCTAATAATTTACCTATATCCACTTCATGTTTCGTCATTAGAGTGAGCTACACAGAGAAAATGTGTAAATACTTATTATAAAGAAGTAAAAAAGCGAAATTCCAACAATACTATATACGATAGCCAATTACCATTCAATTGTATATATCTCCTTTTGAAATGGTCCATTTTTGGCACATTATCGTCCAAATATGTGTAAATAATACTATGCGACGCGTGGTATGGCAACATCCAACGCTGCTGAGGGGTTACTGCAACGGCAGTGTCCAAATTTAGCAACATCAATTCTACCGAGCCACTAAAATTCAATTATTCCAACACTAAATCGCCTTTATGCGGTAACCCCACATTGGAGTCCCGTTTCAAATGTTTATGAAGACATTGAGATAAATATATTAATCACATTAATTTTCGTCTTAATTTTTTTTTAATTAACGTCTTAACTCTTGATATGGATTTATTGCACCTATAAGGATACTATTATAACAGTTAAATTCATATAGCCTCTTCTCTTTCTCAACACCGGTCCAATTGAGACCGAATGTGCGCTTGGAAATGTCTAAATCCTCTCGTAGCGTCCGCAGAAACATTCGCAACGGGAGACCGCGATATCACTTCCTTACGATTAACATCTTTGGTACATGTTTGTGAGCAAAGACAATTGAATATAAATCTGTTTATTATGAGTATAACATACGAAATTGAAGCGTTGAAGCGTTAACGCGGATACACCATATTACGTGATGCCAAATACTGTCGTTGCCAATGAAACGCGATGGACCTTATGGCCATCGCGATAGGTCACATATTCCTCCGATTCACGTTCCGTCGGACCTAGGGACGATCACTGGAATGTTCACACCGACACAAATCAACCGACAAATTTCACAGCACGGCTGGGCCGTAGAGAATACATATTGCTTCCGTTTTAAGCGTATTGAAACCGAGTAGGTACGACACATTCATTTTGTACTTACACGAACACATCTAAAATACGATTAGACATAACATATACATATAAATTGATATATATATTATATTATACATAGAAACAACCTAAGTCCCCGTTTTCGTTGTCTTGAAAGGACAGCTGTGTTGATCGATTAATCGCTACGGGGTCACAAAAATCAATTAGTCAAAGGAACCGAACTGGTATGAATCTGAGGGTCAGACGGCGGAAACTGGCACAGGCCAGGAATAAATATAAATGTACAGTCGTACAAAAAAAAAATCGTTATTTCACAATAACGAAGGCAAACGAAAGGCGTTAATGGAGAGGGAACCGTAATTATTCCACCACGGCTTTAACGCCTGCTGCGAAGGACCAAACTTAGTCGAATCGAAGACGTTAAATTGTTAAACGCCTTATACGGTTCGGACAAAACTGCTGGCGTGAAAGTCGAGGCGCGGGACACTGAGAGGACACTAGGTCGAGATTGCGCTCCGCGGGGCGGGGGTGAAGTGGGAGGGGGAGGATCTTCAAATGCAGGGTAGGGAGGGGGATAAGGGTTTATGCGCCCGAGAACCCGTACACCTCCAAGACCCTGATCTCGAAGTCCCCGCTCGGGCACAGCGGCGGGTTGTTGAAGGTGGAACAGCGGTCAGTCTTGCCGAACCTTATGTTCTCGTCCATCCATATCGCTTGGCCGTCGCTGTGGAAACAAGTTGATTATGTGTTAGACATCATGTAAAGGATGAATGATGCGAAACGTTGTATAGATCGATAATAAGGAGGTTTAAAACTTATACGCCAAAATGGAGAGTAATGGCGTAGGAAATGGTGTAAGAGATTTAACGCGTGACGACGATGACTCCGTGGCGCAGTTGCCAAGGTATTGGCTTCGGCGCCGGGGCCGTTGGTTCGATTAACACACGAGACAACTGTTTTGTGTGACCCACAGATAACTGTTACGGATCTACGTGTTTGTCCATGTGAAATTTGTGAACGTAAAACGACCTTTTTTATATGAGGAGGCAAGCGAGCTGGCGGTTCACCTGTTGTTAAGTGACAACCGCCGCCCATGGAAGTTGCAACACAATAACAGGGTTGCCGACGCGTTGCCACCTTTTGATAAAGTGGGCCCCAGCTACCTTACTCACCAGACGAAACGCAGAAGTATGACACTTCCACTTGACGCCGGTTATCTGTGAGGTCGTGTTACTTATCCGGACGGACCTGCCCATTCGTGCAACAGCCGAAGCTGTTGCGTGACCTTACCACACACACGATAATGGTAACCTACAGCGGGCAATGTTGTCGAAGGAAGACATAATCAATACATCTTGCTAGCAATACATCTCGCAGTGGTCGTTGGGATTTACAACCTAACCTCTTCCACACAAAATACAAATGGTCTGATGCTTGAATACTACTTACTACATGTGCTTCATCAAACATTTTCCCACGCACACACACGTACACGCAAAAACATTCGCACGGGACTACGTAGAACTTCAAATGATGTTGCGAAAGCGTTTTTCAACCTAGACCGTGTCTGTTCGAGCGACGCGGGGGAGGCGGGTTCTAGTTGGGTTCACCGCTCACCCCCCGCCGTGGTGATCATGGTGGTGTCTGCCGCCATGAACAGCGAGCTCGCGTGCGTGGCTCCCTACTCCCCCCCCTCTCCATTAAACCCCTGGGGGCAGCCCACGCCAGGTTACTTTGCCCGGGCGGGGTGCAAGCTGCAATTGTACCCAACGCTACTGACCCGCCGCCGATGGTGATCATCGTGTTGTCCGCCGCCATGAAGAGCGAGCTCGCGTGCGTGGCCCCGCCCTCGCCCTCGCCCTCCTGCGGGCAGCCCACCCAGGGGTACTTCGCCCGTACGGGGTGCAGGCTGCAAGTGTTACGCTACGCTACTGACCCGCCGCCGATTGTGATCATCTTGGAGTCGGCGGCCATGAACAGCTCGGAGCCGTGCGCGACCCGCTGCTCCTCGCCCTTGCCGTCCGCCCCAGCGGAGCACCCCACCCACGGGTACTTCGCGCGCTCCGGGTACAGGCTGCAATGTGCCCGCGGTACAGAAAAATACGCTCGCACCAATTTTACTCTGTCTCATTGCTTGCGCATCACGACTATTACGCGGTCGCATATTTCACCGCCGCCAAGTTGACGCAATCGCATCGTGCGCGACTTTTATGCGGTCGCGCGTTTCAACTCCATCCCGCGTTGCCGCAGTGACGTAACGCTTGAATTTTTAACCGACTTCCACCAAGGAACTCCTCAAAATTAAATGGATATAGGAATGAAATATTTGGAGTCGGCTTTGTCTTTTGCTAAATTTACTTTTTAGTAGCACTTTATGGCTATACAAACCTGGTCAAAAGTATCGAACTCTCAATAGCGAATTGAACGTTTCGCCAAGTTTAAAGTGTTCAGTATTATTAAATGAGGCGGATACCACTTTGCAATGCTGCCGAGTTTGGAAATAATCGGCTGTATAAGTATATACATTTTTCTTGTTTTCTGAAGTTTATTTTTTAATTTATCTTAGATTGTTGCAACCTTTTTTCGTGAAATAAACTAATTCTTTTTACTGTTTTCCCGTTTGCCTCCAAAACAGAAACAAATTGGGAATGTTCCATGCTTTTGACCAAGGCTGTGTATTTAATAAATATTTGTTACATCTTATAACATTATCTGCCCTCTTTACATATACAATAACTGCTGTTTGTGTTCAACATACATACATCTGTACCAAAGCATTAGTATAGGATAGGTTAAAGAAGTTCCCATTAGTTAGAGCAACAGAAGTTGTAGACATCACACTGTGTAAGGAAGCACAGTGTCAAGGATTATGACAAAACAAAAACAGAATAAACACTTACAAAACCAGAATCAATTGGAAAAAGAATATTATAGACGCATAAGTGATCTTAATCGTCATTAGTATGTAGGCCAAATTAAATAAAAAATCATTTTTTGTTGCCATAACGTAGACAAAAATATCTAAATTATATAACAATTGAATCGGTTATCGTAATTTTTCACAATCTACGCTACGTATTTTTAACTACAATCTACAATTATACATAATTAAGTCAAAAGAAAAAATAATAAAATAAATACTTCTACAAAATAGGCAAGTAATAAAGATAACTTGCGTGCAAAGCAGAACTGTTGCGAAGTAAGTCATAAAGCGTCAACTTAGCTAAGTATGCGAGAGATTAAATAGTGCAGCCGAAGATTACGTTATACCCGAAGCGCTCGAAGTTAGTGATTAATGAGACTCATAAATAACAGAATCATCAATTTAAGATAAAATTGTTAATTAATTAAATTTAAACAGAACAGTAGAAAAGAGAGTGAATGATTCCTCCACGAGGCTCATTAATACCGTGACTGAACTTAAAATACCACTGCTTGTGCTTCTGAAGTCGGCAGTAAAAAATAGTTATATCAGTAGTTGGTATTTTAAGCTCAGTTTTGTGAGTGGGGTTTACGAAATTAAAGTTAACTTAGCAATTAAAAGTAAACATTGATAGATCACAGTACATATAAAATAATATATAATAGAGGAAAACAAACGTAAAGTCTATAATACTAGCAATAAAATGATCTACAATAATACAAAAGAAACAAAATATGCTTTTGGAAACAAAGTTTTAAATAATATGTAATGGATGATTGACATTCAAATGCTGATGAAGAAATAAAAAATATATAATAATTATATAAGAAATACTAAGCTAATCTGTAAGAAAGAACCATAGATAATAGCAGCGTAGGTGGAAAAGGGGTTTTATAAAAAAGCTGGAACATAGAAAAATAATCGTAAAAGTGCAAACCATTGTAATAAACGGCAAGATCATATAAAAGCATCATAGTATGTAACTAAATATAAGCAAATACTCAAACAGAGCAATTTAAAAAATTGTTACAAATGTGAATTGCATTTACGTTTCATTCAATTAGAGTCATTATTCATTTTAACTGGGATTTATCTAAAGTCGTTCGATGAAGTAGTTCACTAATCTCAATTTCTTTTCTAAAATATTTGAATATCTGATATTTAATAAGTATAGTCTAGTTACAAAGAGAAGGAAACAAAATACATACATACATTCAAAAGTAAGTTAATCGCAAAGTTAAGTAAGTAAGGTTAGCGTAGTGTGCGGGACCCATCACCTACTTACAAGCGTGTGCGTGAGTGAGTGAGTGAGTGAGTGAGTGTATGAGTGAATGAGATTCTTGTGTTATTGTTACCTGAAGAGGAATGTCTCTCCTGTTCCGAAGTACGCCTGGCGATTGCCGCGCTCGTCCTTCTGGTTTCGTTCGAACCATCGCGTCGAGCAATACGCACCGAACACCTGCAAATATGTTATTTTAACATTATTGACATTAAATGGAACCTTTAAAGTTGTCACTCGTCAGTTTCGTTAAAGAGGTTTGAGGTTGCGTAGCAGTCTGTCACTGTCACTGGACATGTCAATTTGCGCGGCAAATGGATATAGTAGAGAAAAAAAAACGTGTGTACTTATGTACGCACGTAAGAAGTTATACTTCTTTAACGTAACAAAAGAATAAAACTAAAAATTTTATACCCTGTGCCAGCACTCTTTGTGAAAAGGACATTAAATGATAACGGTTTAATTAAACAACTTGGAATTATAGGTAAATCTCAAAAAGTTGTTTTTGGTTGCCGTGGTGAAATTAGTCGCTTTGCAACCAACTTAACATCATAAATTTAGTTAAATAAAGTTTATTAAATATCATAAAATAAATATCGTGAATACAGTTGTCAGTTCTCACGCAAACATACGTGGATGTCTAACTAACTTCAGGGTGTCGGTTTTTCGTGACGGTGTGGCGCGCGCATCGTAAAAAGTTACTCTCATCATTTGTCCCTAACGCGCAAAAATAAGTATAACTTCAAAAAACCACTTGCCTCGTTGTTGCAGGTCTTAATCATGAGCAAGGTCGGCTCGTGGTGCTCGACGCGCACGTAGAACGTGGTAAGGGAGCAGCCGTGCTCCTCAGTGGTGTACAGTAGCACCGGTTGGTACATGGTGATGCGAACTGGCAGCCAAGACCACAGCGTGAACAGCTGCAACGCACGTTGAGGCGTTAGACGTGGTCCAAAAAGCCTTTATTAGTTTGTCGATCCATAGACGACGATACATTTTGTTTATGGTATTTACCACGTGACGGTAAGAATTCAAATTCAAATTTAAAGCAGATCAAAGGTAAATCGATGAATTTTTTAATGCAGAAAAATTACAATGGTAATAAAAATGGAAGATATACTTCAAACAATTACTTTTGCATCGTTCAGGTGGAACTAGTAGATATGGATAACAAATTTTATTTGATTGTGAACAAATTTGACAAACATTGAAAACATTGCAATGGACGGCACAAATTATAATTATTAGTTGTCAAATTAGTAGACATCTAGAGGGTGCTGGGTGCGTGTCGAGTTTAAATATATGTACAACATCGAAACAACTATCTCATAGCACGAGTCATACATTACGACAAACATCGCATGCAATATTAACAATGGTACAACTATTGACATAATGTGTAACTTACGGCCGTTTTAGCTCGATCCGAACTATCTGACCAACCATTCAAACAACAAAAGAGCAAAAGTGAAGCCATTTTGTCACTTGAATGATTGAGATTACTTGAATGCAGTGCTGATGATTGCAGTGACAGTACTTTTATTTAACAAAAATGGATTCAGATATGACGATAAAATTACTATGTATATTTATAATACTAGCAGCGCAAAAAAATGAGTAAGTAAATAAAAAGATCTAATGGATTGATGTGAAAATATCGTTTGGTGAGTTTATTTTAGTGTCTACATTTACAAATAATGCTTCGTGTCGCGGTGACATTATAGGAAAACATAAAAACAACGATATGCTATTAGACTGATTATATAATAACGTTATCATAGACAGAAACAAATTAATAAATTACTCTCAAATAACTAGAAATTATACAAACGTACATCGATAACATTGTAACACCTAAAGCTAAATGAATCCGTAATGTGTAATTTACCGATTGCACAAATTCTATTCGGACCGAAGGACCATAAAAAAAACTGCATAAATATTTGAGTTCTACACAACATTGCACTAGTGACATTAATCCCGATTTGTGCACTAGGCAACGTGGCGTGTTTCCAATGCCGCCGCGACCGCTACAACCCGAGTTAGTTTAGTCCACATCAACCCTAGTGCGGCAAACCTTGCGCCTGAGGTCGGAGGAGTGCTGGCGTTGGTCCCTGAACACGGCGTTAGGGAATGGGAACCACAGCGCCAGGTGGGAGGACCGTGGGCTCTGTGAACACCGCGCTGTACGATGTCAATGGTGGCAGTGGTAAAGGGTGACGGATGTCAGTGGTGGCGGGCGGTGTAAATGGTGGCAGACTACATCAACAGTGGCGAATGGACGTCCACCGTTGTTGGGAGTGAAAGCGTATGTAACGGTTAATGACGTTTATGTGACGATTACAAGACAAGGCGATAAATGTAACCATGACAAGATTCCAAATGTTAGTGAGTGTTCCTTAAAAACTGTCTAACCGAACTAGGACATGATTAGAATATTGTTTGGAACATTGAACTTTCAGATCATAATTTATTCATGTATATTATATATTTAAAATGTTTACTTTACAGTTCTGTCTGATAGGAATTAGGAATGAACATTATTTGCCAATCCACGTAAAAATCAAGCCGAGCTTCGAAAGTTATTATGGCGTACATTTTTACGAATTTTATGAAACCTGCTGCGACTAAAAACATATATTTTTTAATTGCGATAAGGTTTCATACAACTTGAAATCACTAAGCAATCTGTTACGAACTTGATTATAATTTCCGAACGTAATATAGGAAATTATAAGTAATTGTCAAATATGTACATGGATGAATGGAAATAGAATACATATATTTATAATGGAAATATTTAATAAACGTCCAAAAAGTCAGTTCCGCGTGCGAGAGAAAAGAGTAAAAGAGATAAATTTGTTAAAAACTCCAATTTTTAATCTATTTTAAGTATATGAAATCAACTATCTGTGACATTGAAATACTTTTCTTCACTTTTCATTTGAGCTATTTTCAGATGGTCGCGGTGTTGATGACGAATCGGTACGTCTTAAAATACAATTTATTTCGTTTTACAAAACATTGCCCTTACTTTAGGATAACTTTGTCCTATGTTGTCAGGACGTTTTACAAACATAAGTTTCATGCGGAAAAACACCCCGATGCGAAACAACTATCTGTGGGTCGCACAAAAAGTTGTCCCGTGTGGGAATCGAACCCACAACTCCCGACGCCGAAGCCGATACCTTGGCCACTGCGCCACGGAGTCAATCAAAATTAAAAATAACAAAATTAAAACTCCAACACATTTTCAGGCATCTGCTGGCTTGAATGGAAATTGATGAGGACGGCCGGCACAAAAGGAGGTCATAATAAAAAAAGTGAAAAACTAAGTAACGCGCACCGCGCCTTCATAGGGTTGATGCTCATAATTAATGCCTAGCGTAATTAATGAAATCAATAGAGTGTGAAAATAAAGTCTGCACATAGACAAGATGGCACAATAAAATAGTAGATATGAAGACTTTTCATGCAATACAGATCATATGGTTGATACAGACTGGCCAAAAGATATACGAAACCGGTATTCTTAATTCTAAATGTAAATAGTTATTTCAGCGCCACCTGAATCTGAACCAACCATCGAATGCTCAACGAGCATAAATAGCAAATTAAAAAAAAAACAAAAAAAAAGCGACGACGTCAATCTCGGATGGTTCCTTGGAAGCTTGGCTAGAGATGAAATAAAACAATCAAATAAAAATAAAAACACCTAAGTGTTAAGCGGTGCATCTAAAACATCTATAATGTCGCAAGCTACCAACGGAGCGACACTTAGGACTTGTGACATAATACTACTTGGTCTTACTTCGCTGTGGTCTAGAATCTGCGACTTGATCGCTTGGATTGGGTAAACGCCCATCGATAGGGCGCGCGGGCCCGGCGAATGTGAGCCCTAATGTGGGAAAATCGATACACTGTTAGCACTCGCACAAAACAATCGGTAACATGCCATCGTCGCATCACTATCATTGATGCACGTTCACGATTGTTAATCTCAAAAGCTATGTTCATTGGCGGCTACTGTAAAGAAAAATATACACATCCGGTGATAAAACCTTCAAAAAAAAAACAAACTCTCGAACACCCATGCCAATCGCAGATATCCGAAAAACGTTTATACATCGAATCGGATCGCACCGTGTGAAATGAGTTTTGATAGACAAAAGGAGAAAAAAAGAAACAAAAAAAAAACAACGAAGATAACACGTAAACAGTAATAAATTTGACACACAAAGCCGATGAAATGAACGTCTATATCAATATTATAACATTAATTCGGTCTCGTCTCGGCGACATGATCACATCGAAAAGAACACAACATTGTCATAGACAAATCTCTCGCTACACAGACGATGCAACATAACTTTGCGTGTCTGCAAATAAAGGACAAATATTATGCATCTCAATATCAGTTCGTGACGCAAAAATTTGCGCCAGCGATACGTCGGATCTGTGATTGTGTCCGATCGTTTTGGAGTTAGTCGTGTTAGGAACGCAATCGAATGGGATTTTATGGTATAGAAAAGCCAAAGCCACGCCTAATGCTGTCGTGTACGATACCATCTGTTTGCACGTTTCCTCAGACATTCTCTGCAAACCAAGTAAAACAATATCTAATACATATAAATTATTTATATTCAGGGCGTGATGTCAGTATCGTTGCGTGTGGTTGCGCAGTGTGTGTTACATACACATCTGATTCTGTTGTTTCGTGTGGATAACATCCCTAATGAACCTTGAGACCAGTTTACTGGCAGTGATATCGTAAACTTTGACAAATTACTGTATGGATTATTCTCGGTAAACCAAAAGCGTCACTTAATTATTTATTATTGACGCATTAAAATTTCAATAAGTCAATCAAAATCTTATTTCGAATTTCTTCAGAAATGTAACAAAACTACTAAACGGATGGAACGCTTTTAGTTTAAGTACATTCATTTGGAGTTTCAAATGCTTTGGATTCCATTCCGTGATATTGAAGGGATAAAAAATCCATAGAGTAGTTTTATTACTCAACCAATAAAAGGAAATTACTACGAGAGCGTAAAGAGATATATCGATATAAAATATTCAATATCGAAACCATATCAAAATCGATATTTTTTCGGATTCGAACCCGAGACAGAGTCCGTACATTCAAATATTTAAAACTTGGCACAGGTTTTTTTTTTTGTTTGGAGAACAGAGCTTAAAAAGAAAATATCGATATATCGATCGATCGGTATTTTCTTTTAGATATTTCGAGGCCGATATTGATATTTTTATAAATAACGATATATTTCTTCACTTCCGGCATCCCTAGGTCAAGTGCGCGTCATCGAACAGAACTGTCAAGTCATTCGACACGCGTTCGACTGTTTCAGAAACAGATTGTACAACATTATTACTATATATATTAACTGGCCAGCACTTGACGACTGCCATCCCACCTGATGGTAAGCGTCGCGGGTAAGCGCGCTAGTTCAGCAGAAACCCATTCACTCTTGCCTCATTAATCAACGATAGAGTAGTTAGCGTTTCGGGCACTGACCTCGCGTATGGTCAGCGTGTGGGACATCATCTGTATGTTGACCTGCGACTGGCTGGTGGGCAGGTTGTCCGAGGAGCGGGATCGCACCAGCCGGGAGCCCGTTATCACCTGCTTCGACTTCAGCGTCATCTCCGTCTTTATGAACACCCGCGATATGTACTGTGAACTATTCAAAAAGTGTCATCAGTTGTTCTTCACCGGCGATATGTACTGTGAACTATTCAAAAAGTGTCTTATCAGTTTTTCTTTTTTGGAAGTTAAATAAAGACGAAGTTTCTTACAAACGAAGATTATTATTCTTGGTACTTTCCCAACATTGAACAGACAGAACTGTTATTGTTGAACAGAAATGTTACTAGTAAAAATCAATCTAAGTAAAACTTTTCAATTTAATATTCAAAGCAAGTATTTCAAGTGAGTTTTTAAAGTCTAAATCCCGACCCATATTTCATTCCATACTCTAGAAATTTTAACGAGATGCAATGCGGCGTTCTACTTTGTAACGAGAAAAAAAATATGATCTGTTGTTATAAATAAAAGGCATGTTCAATTAAAATATGAAAGAATTTTTTTCTAATTAAAATGTTTATATTTTCTTTTGTTTAGTGGTTTTATCGTGTATTGCCAAAGTAGTCACATAACATAAGCGTTCTTCCGCGATCTTGATTTATTCAGAAAAACCTGAAGTTATGACAAAGAAAAAAAGAAATACAGGAGATCAATGAACTGTGGATTTCTTTAAAAATGAACATAGATTTAATATAATATTAATTTGATTTGGAGAACTCTCCTTTGGACTCCTTTGGTATTACAATGGAGGAATTTTGGAGTACAGATATTTGACTTTGAGCCAGTCAAATATCTGTATTCAATATACAAGCATTACACTTACTTATTGACTATAACAAAAAACTTTACTACCAGTTCGGAACGGACTATACAATTTTGCGATACGTCAGTATAGCTATCTGATTAGTTCTCAGTGGGCACTCCATAAGATGATGACAATGATTAATACATTATCTGCCAAATTCTCGATATCACAAATTTAAATAACACAAAAATCCGGTTAGCCTTCGCCTTAGAAGCGATCTTAATACCTTCCTTACTCAATGAGATCCATCTTCTACTTCATCAGTCCCGATTACCAGCCGCCACTTGGTGCTAGTTCAACGGAGGATCTGGTCATGAGCACTCAAAAGATCGACACAAAAAGGCTACATCATCAGACAAGTGTTGTTCGATAGGGCAAATATGGACAAACCTCAATGCTCTTATGCTGAAAGCAGTTCTCAGAAGCTTGGTGGGCGAAGAGGGCATGTTCCTGCAGAACTTGTCGATGGCGTGGTCCACTCCATTCTTCGTGGCCTCCGCGTACCACTCCGAGTTCGTGTTGGTGGAGTGCTTGTGGAACTGGATGAGGATGGCCAGCGCCACCCTGTAGAACACCTGCAATGTGTAATACAAATTGCCGAGAGAATCTAAAGCGAATACAAACAATATTTTAAAGAAAGAAATAAATCAGTAGGTAGTGATCATTGAGAATTTTTATTCAGTTAATTCTGGATTCTATCAAAATAAAGACTAATGATTTGTTGCAAATAAACAACAGAAATTTGATTATTAATTCTTACTTGAAATTATTGAAAGTCCTAATTCGTGTCGGTTTTTAAGCGGCGGTTGCTTGGATATCTCATTGAATCATGAACGTTGATGTCAAAGATAAAGTAATAATTTCTTTATTCGCGCCTCGTTTCAATCACCTGTGCAATGTCAAAACGCCACTGCCAAGGAGGCGGTGTTAGAAGTAGATACACATGCGATTACGATAAAGGCAATCGGTCGGTAGACGATAAAACCCACCTTGATCCCCTCGTTGAAGAAGCAGTCGAGCACGCGCACCAGATGGGGAAAGGGCAGCGCGGCCAGGATCCACCACTGCCAGTCCGAGTAGATGCGCTCTGGGCCGATGGCGCCCGACAGCCGCGAGAGGTGCTGTGCGGCCGACTTCTGCAAACAGCGCGCGTTACGGCAATTTCATACGACCACCGCCCCTTGACAAGAGCACCGGAACATCGAAGTCGTTACGTTTGACCACCAAGAAGTGGAAAGGAGTATGGGAAGTAACGAAGTACAACTAATACTAAGATTTTAATCGTTAAATATAAAGGAAATTGGCAACCAAAACAACCACAAATTCTACATGCGGGCAAACGGCCAAGTAGCATGAAAAAGGTTTATAACTAACGATAAAAAGGAGATATTTCTATTGACTTCATCGATCGTTTGAACATGTATATAAATATTTAACTTTTACCCCGAATTTGGACTGTTTAAAAGTGGCTTTTTAAGCACTTCCATGTCGCATCCATTTCAAGAACCACGTCCGATATTCGGGCGACTGTCACTTCAACTAACAAATAACCAGACAGAGATTCTAACAAGTTTTCGTCATTGACGACCATATATTGGTAAGTGTACACAGACGTTTTTACAAATCATTCGAGCCGATCGTGACGCTATCACAATTGTATACAGCCTAAGTTCAAAGGTGCTTTATCGATTAGTAATCCCGGTGTCGTTCACCCGGGCATGGAATGGACTTTTGCGGTCAGTACTTTCACCTCTGGCCTTCCACTGCCGTTATCAAATATTTATGTCCACAATTACGTGCAGTCCCTACGATGCGTTATTTGTATTCGACTCGCTTTGTTACTGAGATTGCCGGTAAATGCTCTTTTGTACTTTCATACTTTAACATGTGGGTAGAGAATGGTTTCCTGTTGATCAATAATTTCTTGTTTATATAACCTGGATGTGTTCAAGGGAAAGCGAGTCGATTATATCATGAGTTAATGAGTCCATACTTCGTCGTACCTTGACGAAGACTATTTTTTCCCGGCTTTACCAAATTCAGATTTAATTTCTATCACATCATATAGGGATAATTTACTGGACGTTTTATTTTTATTGAAAAAACCTGAAAAACTAAGAGTTCAAATATTTTGCGAACTCTACACCAGTCCAAATTGCATTCATATTTTTTTTTATTCTTAATAAAGCCAAAAGCACTACTTATCGGTGAATTTTTATTAATATGGCGAAGTATACATAAATATCACAAGGGGTTGATACAATAGCTAGTTGCGTGTGATTTCTTTGAGGTAGATCTGATAACGGTTTGGGCAGTGCCGCATTGCCACGCAAAGCTCTGCGTAAGGGCTTTTCCACATGATATTTCTGTATTGGAGAGTACAGAAAAGATAGTATAGAAAAAGAAATAAATCAATTTTTAACTAAATCTATGTTATGACTACATAAATTTAAAGAGACAAGGAACAATCTGTAATATATGAGTATTGTAATTGCGCGACAGTTAGGAATAAACATTTAGTTTATATTACTGCACCAAACAAAGACAGTTTGGGCCTAGTGGTTGGAACATTAACTCTAAACAAGTCGGTAGATCATGTCAGTTGTATGTGGCAATTAACTGAAGCAGGCCTTCAGTGAGTTCGTGATAATTCCTCCTGAGTCGACCCTGTCCATTCATGCAACAGCACGTGATCGAATACAATCTCTAAGTATATACTACCGGAAGTTTACATAGAGATTTAAGGAAGTGTAAATAATATAATAATAATGTTTAAAGTTTTTTGAAATTTGTAGTCCAAAATTGACCCACTTTGATTAATAACGTATAACGTATACACATCCATTAGTTCTGTACCAACTAAAATAATCGTAAAACCAATTGTACTCAGTTTATAGATAGTTTCATATCGGAACATATTTAATTTAATATAAAATTAGAAACAAATAGATTGATTTCTGTTCGTCGGTGTGAACATGACGGATGCCATTCTTTGGGTTATAAACGACTTTTAGTTTACGTGGGGGCGATAAAAAAAAGTCTTGGTCGTTAAATCACAAATTACCATATAGCGCTTACCTTCAGCCTATTCCTTGATATATATCGGGACGTATTTAATAGGAAATAGACGTATGGCTGCAATAGCGGCGTCAACAATGTTTATAACGATAGGAGAATCGAATATGTATTAATCCAAGTCGATAATTTTCTCTGCAGTTAAGCCTTGATAAAATGTATCATAATATACGTTTAACATCGATTGCTTCAATTTAATTCGGATATTTATTTATAATATACATTTTATATCACGACTAGCTGACCCGGGAAACGTTGTTTAGCCATATAAATTATTTGTAGGGTAGAAAAAAATGTTTGGGGTTGACCACCCTTAACATTTAGGGGGATGAAAAATATTTGGGCGATGTTGGCGATTCTCCACCCTGGCCGATATGCACACAAAATTTCACGAAAATCGGACGAGCCGGTCGAGAATTTTATATATTAGATTGTATTACGATTGTACCTGTAAAGAAAATTGACGCATCTGGAAATTTCAGTATTATTATTCTGTTAAGGATTAACCCTTGAAATCGTCCCGTACCAAAAATAAACCAATGACATTGTAGCGATATTACCTGTCATGGCCGCGTACATTTAAAGTGTCTCGGAGCTGTACAGTACAGTGTAGACAGTTGATTCTTAAAACTTCTTTTAATAACGTAATGTTTATGATATTACAAATTGTTGGTCGAGTCTATACATAAGACACCTTAATTACCACATTGCACTGTGGTAAACACATGATATGCGTAATAAAATGTTGTAATATTTATTGTAAGAGATAAAATTTTTGGATCAAGTAATATAATATTTATCAATGACGATAGTGATTCGTTTGTTCATTTGTGAGATGTTATATATTTACAAACAATTTGACATTATTAAGGAAAGTAAAAAACAATAATCCTGTTCAATTTTGCGATATCATTACTGTTATAAACAAATTAATGATCAGTCTTACGGCATGTTTCTTGGCGATCTGCATTACAGTCTTCCAGGTGACCTCGTTGTGTAGCTTCGTTTGCGTGATGAACATCTTCTCCTTCGAAGCCACCAAGCTAGCCATGCAGTGATAGCATTCCTCCTCTGTGGACAATTTACAGGTCATTACATCATATGATTTATGAGCTATGGGAAGTAGTAGCTCCAAGACTCTCTGGAACTAGGATGTTCTGGGGCATTTGTTCAAACTGAACGAGTAACATAAATAATTCAAAACCTTTTGCTAAAAATTGCTTAAAAGCTTAAAAGTTTGTCCATCTTTGAGAAGCATGACGACGCATTTTTGCGGAAGGGAAAAACATTATCCCCATTATCACAGCCCACAATAAGCCGATTGCTGAACATAAACTCCATGTCTGACATAAAGCCCGATTGTAAACATCCACTCTAAATGCAACTAATCTATGTAAAACACCAGACGCACGCGTTAAATTTGTATTTAATAGAGACGTAAAATGCGATGCCCTATGGCATGGTACAGCGGACAAGCGTTTGATGTCATCGGTTAACTGGGTGATGTCACTGGTTGAAATAAGATGAAGTACACGAGGCCGTGTCGCATAAACAAGATATAGCGTCGACACATTGGCTGGAGGTATCGTGAACGGAATTCAATTTCGCGCAACAAATGGGACGGGTGCCCCAAGGGTCGCTTGTGTCGGAGGTGGGGAAGGCAATCTCGCGAAAATGGATCCAATTATTGTGGCAGGGGCGGCGGCATGCTCCGAACGGGTCCAATCCAATAGACACGGGCGGAGATTATCGCGGTTAGTCGGACGGTGAATTTAGAGCGGCCGTATAGAACAATCTTTGTTTATATCCATTGCAGATTTTGCTGGCTTTCGCTATTGGCTGATTCTTTACGCCCAAACTTCTTTGGTTAACATTTGTAACCGTGGTCAATTTTAGAACTAGAAGTTCGCTTAAACGGACAAAGCACTAGCTTTATACCTCTGTCCGCCCGGTGTAAAGGTGAGGTTAAAAGACCTCTAAAAGTTACTCGTCAATCACTGGGGGGTGTTGATCAGCTTTGTACACAAGCCAAGATTACGTGGCTTTAAAGGTACAGGTAAAGTACAGACGCAATCCTAGTTCCTGATGATAACCGACCAGGACCTAAAATCGATGTCCTACGACTAGTTTTCCTTTTTGCCAAATACTTTTCCCATCATAGTCACTTGAAGAAGGTCGATTTGTATTATCATTCGTTGTAGTTAGTTAATTTGTATTTAAAAAGTAAAGATATTAAATCTTTTCTGTGGTTCTGCCGAGGGTATTAGAAAGTATTTTAATACTTGCCCCTAATAGTGAACTTTTCTAACCAGTTATCGATTACGTACGTATCAAGTGTGTAATTTTTATAATTAATATGTGATTAGATACCACTCTCTGGATGGTGTTTTATAAACATGAAAAATAATAATCTAAGAGATGTAAATATACTATAATTTCAGAAACATGCTTAGGAGAGTTTAACCAGAAAGTCAAAAATTTTTACTGACTTTCTCTACAAAAGGTGCCATTCAAGAAATATTTAATTTTCCTAAGCGAAACTTGACGAAACTAGCGAAATACAGAATCACCGACGATCGTGCAAAACTGTGAATTAGATTTTCGAACATGGTAGGTTTTTAAAAAAAACTAAAGGATATCTTTTTTTTTAGTTTCAAATATTATAACAATCAAATGAATAAATAATAATAAATACATCAAAAGAGACTATTGTACTGACGTGAAGAGACTATAATCACACGTAGCACAACGTTCAGATTTTTTGTCACCCGATCAATACGTATAATTATTATTCTTGTGTAATTTCGGTCTCCCGAAGCTTTTACCTTTTACTTAAGATATTAATGGAAAAAGCTTTCAGTAGGAAATCCCCACGCAGACATTTAACTTTGTAAGCTTTCGACACTGAGTGCCCAGTTGCCAAGTGACTAAGGCCCGTTATTATATTAGTAAAAAGCCGGAAGAATATTATCAACTAAATAAAATACAAGTATACTCAAAGCAGAGTTATAGGAAGATGTCGATAATGTATGTATGTAATGTAAGTATAATGCAATTCCATAAACATTAAGATATTTCCACGAATTCATAACAGTCAACGTGATACATTTAAATTCTTTTGACACTGATATACCTGTTTTGAAATAAGATTTAGGATAACTATCATAATACTATAATTATTATAATTCATATACTTGAAAGAGCAGAAGTGATAACAGGGATGAGTTTCTAGACAAATAAACAAAATCTGCTTGTACTTTTATTAGTTCTTCTGTTGTACAAATAACAATAGGGATTAAGTAAAACTAAACTTAATTTCTGAGTAGGCGGAATGGCAATGAAACATTGTTCAGATAGTGTACTAAACACTAGCTATAAATATCAACCATATCGGTGCCATTTTTGTAAAGTCCGTTATAACAATAATCGCTACCGCTAACAAAGCCTGCTACATGACAAGTTAAAAGTGTACGTTGGATACAAAACTATGACATAATGACCAAAATTTTTTTTACAGTTTTGTACCACTTTGACAGTTTTTTTTTAGATGGCAATTTTATTATTGACAAAAGAGGGAGAGTAGCAGAATAAGACGTATTAAAAAACCTTCGAACAAGTGTTCTAGAATGTCGATGGTATCTTATATACTAAAAATTAAATAAAAGAATATTACGTATGTACGTATCGGATCTACTAGCCAAATGTATAAAACCACTGCAATCTATAAAATATTATATAAATTAAATAGGTGACATCTACAAACAACGAAGAGAACATGTGAAAATAAATTTAAGAAACTCGTGAAAACCAACTTGAAAAGAATAAATAATATAACGTTGAAAAACACTGAAATTATTGGCACGCCTCCTGAATTCTGTTGATTTTATGCTAATATTCTTTTTTCAAAACGATAGAAGAAAAGTTTAGCTATATAAAAATAAGACCAATGTGAGAAAGAACTGGCAAGAAAACAGGTCAATTTAAGGAACCATTGGCGTGTTCTTAGGAGCTTTGAACGAGGATAATTTGAATAAAGAACTCGGATATTATCTTAAATACCAATCCCGTTTCATCGGTTGCATTAAAGATTTACGACGTCACGATCGTATTAACGCCTTTCAAGGTGGTTTATCGCAACGAGTGCTGAACAAGCCCTATCTGCGTTGCAATTTCACAATTAGGCTTTATCAGATAAGGGCACCTTCACGTTTCGAGAGTCGAGCGAGGCGTTGATAACGTTTTATTGGGCGCACATAAAACGTGAACGGTCGCGTCCGTTGCCATGAAACGTCTTGGCGGACATCTATAACCAGCTCCGCCCACATGATATGAAAAAAATGCAAACGCTTACGACATATAATATCATAAGTACCTGGAGGACCGAGCTTTGCTCGGTTTTTTTTGAAAATCATGTATTTTGTAAATAAAAAAAATAAAAATAAAGAAAATAATCTGGTATAGAAAAAAAGGTAAAAAAAATTAGTGTGTAAATTATCGTAATACGACGAACCGCGGCCGTCTGTTTTGGAGCCGCCCGATTACCGACCGAGCTATTAAAAGATATTTTTTTTGCGGCGAAATTTACCGTCATATTCGAATCATATTTTTCATTCTCTGAAAACAGGGATAAAAGGACATTTTCTAAAAATGAAACCTAGCTAGATCGATTTTTCGCCCCCGCACGCACATACTAAATTTCATAAAAATCGCTGGAGCCGTTTCCAAGAATTGCTCGTTTAAAGGATAAGATAAGAGCCAATATACCACAAGCTCACATGTCCGAATCGCAGTAGTTAGGTAAGGAAAAAGTAAAGTCTCGTTTATATGTTTCTAAATTATTAATTTAATTATTTTTGCACCGTTATCCCGCAACTATATTATCTACACCCTGTACCATAAGGTTGCCTGGAAGAAATTGCTACCTTAGCAATAAGGACGCCTGTGTGTACACTATATTTCCTGTATCTTCTTTCTTTATGTTTCCTTATGTGCAATAAAGTATAAACAAGTAAAGTAACAGACTATAGAAGTCCCACTGCTGGGCAAAGGCCTCCTCTGTAGAGAGGGCCACCTAACATCCCAAATTAATCAACCTTCATGCGGATTGGTCGACTTCACATATCTTGGAAATATTATTTTTTTATTATCATTTTTAAAGTATGCAGGTTTCATCACGATTTTTTCCTTCACCGTTGAGCACGCGATAGTTTAGCACTGAAATAAACAATTTCATTGGTATTAGCTTCGGGATTTGAACACAGGCTGCTCGAGTATATTGAATTGAGAGCGAACGCCCGGACATTGCGCGTAGTAGGCAAGTATCTAATTATGATTATATAACAATTAATAGAGTCCGAAATTCTCGTTCGTGCATGCCGTTTTTATTGTTATTTGGAGAATTATTATTGACCAAAGTCCGTTAACAATATTTATTTACCTAGGAAGTCACTGATATCGGGCGATTACACGCACTACAAGAAATCATTAATTCAGAAAGGAATGTCAACGCCCCATGTCGATAATTCATGGACAAAACAATTTTGGTCGTACGCGCATGTAGTAGTAAACAGAGCCTTCATCAATTTTCGAAGTTAATTGAAGTCAATTTGAATGTTATTGACAAGAGTTAATGACGGAAATTATGCATGTTTTTCTGCTTAACAATTTCAGCGGATGCAAATCGGATAAAAATTAATGGGAGTTGACAAAACAATGACCAAACCTATCCTTTTATAGTTTTTGTTGACTGTTAAAACTATAATAACGTAGCTCGAGAAGTTTCTTATATATTTTTTTTTCTTTCAAGCATTAAAAAATCTTATGGATTCGTATGTTAAGAATTTAATAAACACTAAAGTAATAATTACTAAACGTCTTATAATTTACCACGAATCAAATTATCAGGGTTAAAACAAGATATTCTACTGCTACGTCCGAAATTATTCTGATTTTATTTTTTTAACATTCCAACGATACATTGACTAACCGCAAGAATCTAGCATTAGACAAAGACAAAAAAATTAAAGAAACCTATAGACACTTTTTCATTTGATTTCAAAGTCAAAGTCGAAATCTCTTTTTTCAATATAGGCT